ATCCTATCCAATAAATATTCAAACCTAAGGCCAAGTCAGACACTAAAGTCACTAGCGATCCACCTTCCTTGGAAATATGATAATAGACGTACCCCTATTCAGACACTGACATGAACTTAGGACAAGGGTTGTACAACCCCTGTCCAAGACTAGTGTTGTTGGGCAGTGAACGAGTTCCATGGCTCGTCTCGAACGCTTTGCTGGATGTAATGTTCCAAAGGCTTATGATCGTCGGTCTCGGTGGGATACGGTGGCGGTGCTTCGGACTCGCCAGGCTGGAGGGCCCTCTGATGAGCGGTGTAATGCATATCAGAGCCGCTAAAAGCGATATCAACACTCTGGTGGTGGTAAGAAGCAGCCCAGCTTCCCAAATACTTCAAGTCGGACTGGGGATCTGGGCTGCTGTTGCCCTTGGTGCAGCAGAAGCTGGACCTGTGATTTGGTCAGCAATAGTATCGTGAAGCAAGACATATATTCAAATGAAGGTCGATGTGTCGGTCAACAGTATTGTCGGGGCCGGCATGTCTCAGGTGAAAGAGAAGAAAAAGATGACGGACCGATTCCACACATGACCTTCAGTCTGAGACTGATCCGACATTGCTTGGTTCATTGTATTTTGAGTACACTTGAAGTAGGTGTTCGAGTATGAACAAGTGATTGATGTGATAGAACTCGGAGGGATAGTATAAGTATGGAAGGTGTTGCTTATCGCACGAGTTCAAAGGAACTACAAAGGAAAAACACGTTCATGGTAGAGAAACGAAAGATGGAAAATGAAATACAAGCAGTCCTTCTTATAGTTTTACATGTACCTAGGTAGACGACAGCTCTCACAGATTGTTCATTGCCGCTTCATTGCATGAAGGCCAAGCACCCACTAAGCCAAAATTAGTTACTCCCATCAATCTATCTCCGCCGGTGAGGCTCTCTAGATTAAGTTCATTTACCAGTTATTACTTAGCCTGAAGGTAGGTCCACGACTCCACGGGAAGTTCAACCAGGGGAATGGTTTGCCTCTTTTGAGACACGGCGAACCAGAAATTGTACCTTATTGGTTGAGGACGTTTGAAGATTGACGGCTCTTTCTTCCATTATATGGTAGATTCTTTGCTAGCAACATTTGTCAAGTTTGATTAAATTCGAGATCAACGTCCAAGCCTTGCTTCCACCATCAAACCTTGGATCCTCTATATGTGGGTCCATACTTCCCTTATCTAAGCTTACATGGTGGGTCTCACACTGTTGATAAGGGTCCAGAGAGCTGGACTTATCGCGACCCAACAGCTCAGGTTCAATTATTTCGATTGATTTTCTGATTTCTACGCACTTGAAAGTGTTAGGCAGTCTAAAAATGCCTGTGGACTCAAAGCGGGTTCCTATAGCGGGTTCCTATAGCGCAAGATTCCCTCTAAATTGAACACCAAGTGCATGGATATCCATGGATACAATGAAGCTGTACAACCATAAACTTAGATGGGATTAGCATCGGCATATTTGTTAAAACAGATATTAGTACGCTGAAGTTATTTATTCCAACCCTGTCAGGTGGTCAGGACCCATCCTGTATATCAAAATATCTCTCTCATCTACCGAGGTAAACATGGTATGACGACTGTAAATGTAAGGGCAGTAAAAATTCGAGGAGTTTCACTTAGCCGGCCATTCTTGCTTATTAGCAGGGGCCTGGCTTGCTAGTTGACTAACGACATCGACTAGTGACTGGCTGGGAAGTGCTAATTTGGAGCTAAATATGGTATAATGAGGAAGATACACTATTGCCCCGGTCATTATACATATGTTGCCCCTAATGCACGAATCGCTTCAATGGGTGTGGTTGCTGCCATGGACAAATCCTTAACCATTGAGAAGGGTACCCCGCTTCGCCACGTTCTCGTATTGATCTCCAGATTGCACTAACCACTTAAGACATCATTCCATCAATACCCATGATCAATATAGTATGGCGTACAGCATCCAATGAGCAGCTAACGCTTGATTCATTTGATCAAAATGTGATGGTTTACTGCTTCCCAGTATTTCCTCCATTATCCCTGCCAGAAAAAGTATTGCTAGCATAACCAGTTGAGCACTTAGAGCCGCTCCTATATACAGGCGTCGTGTCGAGGTCAGATTCCTTGTGGGTCCAGATCAAGCGTGAGAGGAATATCACTAACGATTTGGGGTAATGGTAAGACTGGGAGTTGGTTTTGTAGCTGACTGCATGACTGCCAGTATCATGAAAGTAGCTCTCTCTCAAGGCTGGGATTGGTTAGCAGATTCATAGGTATGGATAAGCTGCTCAGGAAGAGGAATATCCCATCATTTGCTAACCTGTTTGCAAGTGCTAGGGATACTGTCAGAGTTATTGTTAGTCATCTTTGATTGATTGATTGATTGATTTGCGTTTCTTGAGTAAGTAGTTATGTTATGTGTCCAATATGGTAATCAGAGCGTGGGCCGGTTGGAGAGGACGAAAGGGAGGACGGTGAAAGTGTTTGAAGAAGAAGAAAGAGAAGAGTGTGGAACCTGTACCCAGTAGATTCATATAGTCTTTAGACCTAAGAAACAAGTCTCGGGCAATTTGTCTGGGAGATTTAGCAGGATACATCCATGGATACCTGTATTTATCCAACTTGAGCGGCTTTCCCCGTGAATGAACTACAGTATCTAGTACTTAGGGTTGTTCCGGACATATGCGTTTCGTGTTGAACCGTATTCGAACTCTGAAATCGCGAATTCCCAGATCATGGTCAGAGTCCACGGGTGTATATCGTACTGCAATAGAGTTAGACTTACAAGGAGTTTTTTCTTCTGCATCATGTATGTTGGATTCAATGTTTCATTAGTCACTTCTCACCTAGGAGCAATAATAAAAGATCATGTAAAGAGATTGTACCCCCTTTTCCATTCTCACCAGCTTGAGATGACCATTAATACCTGCGCTGTGGTAGTGAACGTGGAGCTCCTTTAACAGATCTCAGCACCAACAGCCTACATTAATTATATCGAAGTAAGCCTCATGTCCGGCCACTCTCAAAAATATGATACTCGTTTCTTTGTGGTTTTCAGGCTTCTACCGAAGGATATTAGAGTCAATATCAGAAGCCTCAGCGCATATAGTCATGAGTCGAGATTATCGCTAACTCAATTTTCTTCACGCAATCCTAAAAGTCAGGTCAATATACGCTATAAAGCGAGATAGAGGCGTGTACTCACAGCTCGAACATTTTGCGAGTACTGGAGTCCTCGCGTGTTAGTAATAGTGCAAGGGGGTCTACAGATAGGTAAATTTACTAACTCTCTTGGTATCCTAGCGTAGCACAATGACTACAAGTGACATATTTTGAGATACAGATTATTGCTTCCGCAAGGGTTACTCGATATCTCAATCATTTAGCTCTCATGGTAAGTATCATGGGCTCTATGGGCATCGGCGTCGGCGTCGGCCCCAATATGTGTCCATCAGCGCCAATGGGCTTCGACTCATTTTTGGCCAGATTCAAGCCTCTCCCTGAGGATGTGCTAACCACTCCTCGTTGTATGCATTTCCAGCTAATACGCCGGGACCTCGCTGCCTATTGCTCACGGCTTACCGAATCGAGAACCTCTTCCATATCCGTTTCGTGACTCTGTTGCAAAATATCCATGGAAATTTTTCCTTGAAGGACGAACCTAACCAAAAGTATATAAAATTCTGGCCTGGAATCTACATCGATCCTGTCGCATGGTGGTCTCCATCATGGGTCGAGAGACACCGGTTTGAACGAGCACTCTGGAAACTATTCATTCACTGGAATATTCAGATAATTCACAATGATCTATTCATGGATCAACCCAACTTTTATGAATACTGTGACTTGATAAGGGCATAAACTGGAAGCTTGGACCTGATCATTGGTTAGATTAAAATGCAGAGATAAATTACATACCATCTGCACTTCATGAGTTTTTGGGCTGGACACCTTTCACCTTTCGTATGCGGCTTTCAAACGAGGCCCGCAAGTTCTATGTTCTATATCAAGAAGTCTTTTTCCACATTTGCGCCGGTTCTCAAAGAGACTGTACACTAGAAATTCGAGGAACCGAAATCAAAGCCCTCCGGGGATACGATGGCTAGACAATGGCAGCAACATTTCTCGGGCATTCATACCAGGAACTCTCTACATAGGTATTTATATTGGGGAATGTGAGAAGATGATGATCCTTCCAGAGAATACCAAATTGATAATCCTGTTCGCTACGCTTAGATCACATTCGCCCCTGTATTTGGGACGGTCAGCGGCAATTACACCTTGGACTAGAAGACACTACACCTCACCTCCTCTTCCGCACCCAAGACTTCCAAAAGACTCTGAAAATATCTCGCTATTTATAATATGTGCGAGATGGCAGAATTTGTTTCTTACGGAGCTTATGGGATTACCGGGATATCAATGGCGTGCTGTAGAGGGAGACTTGGAAGAGCGCGTAATGAGCTGGTACGACACAATAGTCACTTATGTCCCTCTCATTTACAAGCCTAACATGAGTTGGTATGGGCATCGGGGGAGTCATTTGGCATCTAATAAAAAAGCGTTACTTATTCATTCTAAACACTGGTAAACTCTTGGAGAGCCCCTTGCTAAACTTTCTAATATTCCAAACTAAATAGCGATACATTGTTACATGTTTGGCTCTACTTGATACTGGATCTGTTAGATGGTAACAATGAAATATTTTCACCAAGAAGCATGCTAAACAGAACACGTGGGCCGCCATGACTAGCATTATAGGGGCACAATTTCCTAGTCAGGCGCATCTAAACCCCTGAACCGACTTGGGAATAACTCAAAATGTTTGTAGAAACATGGCTCGTTGGTACATTCTTGCAAGCAGAAGGCTTTACTGCTGCCAAGGGGCAGTTTCTAGCTGGTACTTTAAAGTCAGCCTTGACCGGTCGGCACATACTGTAATCCGAGCTGATTCGGGCACCTCGGTATCATCTGGAATAAAGCATTACGATCATGTCAATAAGACTCGAATTCCATTTCAAAGTTCACTAAGCAATGAGCCACAACTATCACCATTCACCATGCGCAATCCCATACAAGTGGTATCCCCTATTCCGCACAAACCATCCTCCACCAGAAGACTCATTCAAGAACTCTCATATCCTCCAATACCACATTTCATGTTGAACAATTTATTTCTTTCCACTGCTGCCACCATTTCCGCCACTAGGAGCAGTGTAACTGGAATAGCCGTTACCGCTATTGTAGTAGGTGCTACCATTGGGGTTGCTGTAGTAATACGAGCCATCCCTATATACAATAGTCCACACATGTCAGTTTCTTCAGTCTCCAATATCTCATCCCCATGATGCAGGTAGGCAGGTATAAATACTGACGAGTTAGAGTAGTGGTAAGAATTGGAGTTTGCTGCCCCGCTGCCGTAGTCGCGAGAGCAGTAGTGGTTGCCCTGTTGATTTATGGTTAGCAAAGCTGTAAGCTTTATCAGTGAATGTGGGGTAGTTTTTACCTGGCTGTTGGTGCCGGAGCTCTTATAGGAGTAGTTGTCAGGCATCTTGATAGATTGGTTCTGGGAACGTTGTTTGCGTTTTGATAGATGTGAGATGAGATGTAAGATGCAGAGGATGAGTGAGATGGATGAAGAAAGGAAAGAAGTAAAGGAGGAAGCGGGGGAGATAAGTATATATAGAAAAAGCTCGGCGTTAGCCTGAAGCTATTTCTTTGTACCTCCCAGAAACGGCAATTTTTGGCTGGCATTCCCGTAAAATATTTTTTTGCAAACATCATGATTCATAAATATCATGAGGTAGGACACCGCCCGTTCTAATTGGTTCATTGCTTCCAATACTCCCCAGAGTCAAAACACTGGCTGCAGAGGAATATTTACCAAGAAATAAGTCAAGATTCTATAAAAATGTATTTAGCTGTAGCTGAGTTTCATAAATACATACATTCACCCGGACCAAGTCATCCCTCTGTAAGCGGAATATCCGAAGGGAAAAACACCAACACCATATCTTACAAACACGGACAGCCGCCCCAATGCATTATTCCTCTAGTGGAGATGAATTGAGCAGTCCCGTATAGCGCCAGCAGTAATGCAAAATTGCGAAATCTCTGGTAGAAACTGGAAACTCTAAAGTGTAGACCCAGGTCAACCAATAGGAGACCCCATCCCTGCTAAGGAGAGGGAGAAGGAAATATAGATTAATATAATACAAGCTGAAGAAGTACTGCGAATCAAGCCAAATGTCGTAGAATTGACTCTTAAGAAGTAGTTCCGAAAAGACGTAGAATGACCTCGTACCTATAAACACGTTAGCACTGAAATCGTAAAAATATGAAGCTGGGTAACTTGCATTCCAAACATGATGGCTGCCGACGGCACCACACGCAACAAGTGCGGTGTCAAGCCACCATATAGACCCGCGAGACCCTCCTCCTTGGCGACAACCTTGAAACATTGGATTAGGCCAGTATATTTGACCTGCACTTTCCCACCTGCCACCGGAACAACAGGAGCTTGTCGCAATCGTGTCCGCACAACTTCATGAGGATATGTAGCAACTGCGGCAAATAGTTTTGCTGCGCCCGCAGCTGCGATACGACCACCCCAGAGTTCAACGTCATCCCAGGTTGTATGGACATGTTTGGGGTCGGCGAGCTTTGCAGCCTCACGTCTAGCCAGGTATAACTTCATTTGCTCATACAGAACCCATTGCGTCGCACTCTCGGCCACACCGAGATATGACGCAGACAGACCCTTGTATAAACCGCGAATTCCTTCATGTCTGACTGTCTGTTTGATACAATCCCAACTATTCTTATACTGCCTGCCACCCTTGCCGCTTTCAGCGTTCGACTTGTCCAATTGTAAACGAGTCTTAATGAGCCAGATCGGGTTTGTTGCCGTTCCTGTAGCTATTCCAGCGATAGCAGCAGCTCCCAGATGAATATTCCATGGAGTAGTCATTGAATCGTGATAGCCAAAATAATTGCTGAGAATGCGTTTGCCGTTTCCGTAAACATAGAAATTGATAGCACGTGCTGGGACGACACCGACAAGGTTTGGTCCTAGGCCTTTGAACAGAGCTCGAGGACCTTCATGAGAATATATAGAGTGGAGGATTTGAAACGTTTCTTTAAAATGTACAAGTGCGCTGCGAGGGAGGGAAATAAAAAGCGGAGCTGGGCGAACAGGATGTGAAGCGCGTAACGCTTGTAGTTGACTTTGATAAAAGTCAGATTGTAATCTGGTTTTGAGGACGTCGAGGGGACTCGTCAATGTAGCGGCTGTCATTCCACCGACTCTAGAGAACAGTATGTGTTAGTCAAGGCAACAAAAGGGAGTACGGGCGCTCAACATACCCTCCTGCAATAAAATGTGCGAGAGGTTTCGCTTTCAGTGTATCGTCTTTCTGTGGTATGGCGACTCCCATCTCTCTGGATTCTGTTGCTTCTTCTCCTAGATGAACCTTATTAGGCAGATGCGCCTGCGCAGAGCTGCCATGAGAAGTGGTTGAAAAGGTCATACCCAGTGGGTAGACCTGTTGTGAAGTATGGTAGGTTTTGGTATTAAGGACTTGATGTCCGTGGAGAAATATTATCAAGTCTTGATCATTGAATGGAATAAAGAAGCTTGTACGAAAAGAATAAAAGCAAAGACGTAGAAGAGTGAACAAGTAAGATGCTGGGACCAACTCCCGAGAACTTTTTTAGACGGAGACATCGGCCCCGGAAAGAGATCGGCCAATCAGATCGATCATCGCGTCCTTATGATTTTCTGGAAAAGAAGCCTTGCTATGGGCATCCTTAGATTTGATAGAGAATTCAGCACAATTTATCTTTTTACGGTTCTTCATCCGTGGATACAAAAGCTCTTTTATCAGAATTCGAGTCAACAACATCTTCCAAGGTACTCTGCTGAAGCGTCGATGTACGTTTACGACCCAGTCCACGAGAAGACTGGATCGACTTCGATAATGTCTCGAGACATTCTTAGAACATGTACCGTGAAACGTTCAACCAGCGGAATAATAGAGAAAATGAACTTGAAATTTTGGTATTATTCTTTTTTCTCATTGAGGAATTCTATGCACAGACAATCATAGTGCAACAAGGTTCCCCGAACCATTTTGCTCATCATGCAATTCCACCATTCTGGCAGATACAAAACATAAAGAAAAAGAACAAAACACCCCGTTAAGTGATATTTTTTCCCACTAGAGAAACCTCAAACTAATCCCGCAAATGTTATAAATAAGTTAAATGTGGGTGTCGTAAGGAATAGGAGTGATCGTCTCGGGGAAGTTGTCGGAAGAGTCAACGACGTGGGCTGAACGGGGCTGAACGGCTTGTCTCTTCAAGTGCAAGTGAATGCCTTGCTCCTTGGCCTGGCGCTTCTTGATGGCATTCTCCTTGACACGGTTGATGAATTCCTCCCGGGAGCGGGAGTGGGAAACGTGCTCGATGCGGACGTTGAGGCGCTTCTCGAGGTAGCGGTTGCCGACACGCTTGTAGACGATGACGCCGACGGCGGAACGGGTCACGTTGTAGACGACACCGGTCTTGCCATGGTAGTACTTGTAGGGCAAACTGCAAGCCAGAATTCAGTATACGGTCCTTCTCATATATCGATGTGTTTTCACGAGCACAAAAGAAAGTTGTGTATGCGAAAATAGGATAATCACTGACCCCTTCTGAACGGCACCGTTGCACTTGATGTCGACGATATCACCGACCCTGTATTTCCGTCGTCAGAATTCCTGTTCGTAGTTGTATATTATTTCTCGAGCTCGATCGTCCATACCGGTATTCCTTCAAATAGGTGGAAAGAGGGATAGAACCCTTCTTCTTAAAGTCGCGAGAAAAGGCATACTATTCGCAAAACACACATTCGTCAGCTCATTATTCCTCACATAACCTCCAACTTCCCAATTCGTCGTCTCGTAATTGCGTTTCTGATAATCAAAGATTGACATACCCGAGTACCGGCGCGCAAACCGTGAGAGTGACCCATCTCGGCGGTGTTGTCGTGTGTGCTGGGATGGTGGTTGAAGTTGTCGTCGACTTGAACACAGTAGAGTGCCTCCGCTACGCAAACTTTCAATGATGAGACATCGCTTCCCGTCTTAGTGCGCGCACTAGGCGGTGTTGGGGAACCTGTTAGGGCATACCCTACTACCACCAATCATGACGCTCTCGCTTCGCTTAGTGGGTCCATTCCTGGTCCTCCACTTCCATCTAAAAGAAAACCGCCAACTCCGTTTTATTGAAGTTACAAGATTCCGACTTCATCGCGACAACCGGGAGTACACCACAGCAGCCATGGCACCAGCCCCGTGAGTATAGATTCGTGTATGCGATTACAGGATATCAATTCTGATTATGATGTTTCGTTTTCCAGGCGTTCCTACTCCAAGACCTACAAGGTCCCTCGTCGACGTGAGTACCTACAATCATTAAAACTCCAAAATCAAATTTGAAGCACAAATACTGACGTCTTTTAGCATATGAATCGGCTCGTCTGTCAGTACCTCCCGGCCACTAAGTAGAAGCGTGCTTCTGCTTATGTCGTGTTGTCCATTCCTAACATATCCTCGATAGTGACTCCGAATTGAAGACTGTCGGCGAGTACGGTCTCCGTAACAAGCGTGAGGTCTGGCGTGTCCAGCTCACCCTTTCCAAGATTCGTCGTGCTGCTCGGTATGTCAAGATTCAGCGATCTGGTATAGTATCCAACTAATTGGTTTTAGTGAGCTCCTTACTCTCGATGAGAAGGACCCTAAGCGTCTCTTCGAAGGAAATGCCCTCATTCGTCGTCTCGTCCGTGTCGGTGTGCTCGATGAGTCCCGCATGAAGCTCGATTACGTCTTGGCCTTGAAGATTGAGGATTTCTTGGAGCGTCGTCTCCAGACCTGTGTCTACAAGCTCGGTCTCGCCAAGTCTATCCACCACGCCCGTGTCCTGATCCGCCAGCGTCACATCCGGTACATATTCTTTAACCAGAAAATGTGGCAGCAAATTACTAACAGATGTACAGTGTCGGAAAGCAGATCGTCAACGTCCCCTCCTACATGGTCCGTCTCGATTCCCAGAAGCACATCGACTTCGCTCTCACCTCTCCCCTCGGTGGCGGTCGCCCTGGTCGTGTCCGACGCAAGAAGGCCCGTGCCGCCGAGGGTGGTGACGGCGAGGAAGAGGAGGAGGAAGAGTAAAGGATTAGCAAATAACAATAAAAAGTCTTTTTATGGGATCTCTGAGTGTTTTCTATTGCATCAAGGGATAGCATGCTGTATGATCACGATTCAATATGAACTTGCTACGAACGTAGCTCCACTTTCAGAGATTCAATATGTGATTTGTAGATCATAGTACTTCACAAAGTTCTTCTCCATATCCTCAGAAACTCCTTGCGCCTGTCATGAGTCATAATAATACAATATCCACCAAAGAGAATGAATCAATTCTCAACATCAATCAACTTTTTCAATGTAGCCTCCGCAACCCGATACCATCGTCCCATTTCTTCCAGTCCGTCACTCTCTCCTTCGAGTTTTTTCCTCTCCGCTTCCCGCGCCTGGCCTATCGCTTCAGACTTTCGGCGCTCCAAGACGCTAAGCTCTCTCTCCATAGCCTCTGCCTCGCGCGTTTTTCGGGGTAAGGTATTCTGTAAAGAGGCCATTTGTCTATCTATAGCAGCCAATTCTGCTTCACGCTCGGCTAGTAGCTTTAACGTCGCCGGTAGCGACAGGTTCTGCGATGAGGAAGCGGAAGAGTTTCCTGTATCCGAGGCTGCTGCATACGCTGCTTGAGACTGTTTTAAAGAAGCAATTGTCTGCTCCAATTGGGCGATTTCTGCAGGTAGTTCTGATAATTTGGTCGTTTCGATTTGCGCGTTTTTATATCCTAGTCTCGAATTAGAACATTCAGCCAAAAGAGTGTGTTATAAGACTCACTCCTAGCCAATTCCCTCCCAGTCTTCTCCATCTCTTCCACCATAACCCTCACCTCCTCCTTGCGCTGTTGTAGCTGTTGCTTCACTTCTGCTAATGTCGTCTCCAATTCCACATTCTCATTATGACCGACAACCAGTGGCGGATCACCAACAATTCCGCGCAGAAATTTCTCTTTTGTGACTTGTTCTAGGTATGAGAAGCGGAGTTTGGAGAACAGTTCCTGCGTGATATACATGTCAGTTTCACATTCATAAACTTGAAAGTGAGAAGCAATGAACCTTATAATGTGTCAAATCAGCCTCCAATGAAGCTGGCGTCGGATTCTCATCAGAGACTATAGATGCGTCCGAAGCGCGTTTTGAAGGTGACCTGGGTATTCCGTCAACGTCTAATGAGGACGTTATCGGTTCACTTATTCGAAGGATTGCGAGTATATTCGATTCCGCATCTTGTCCGTTCTGGAGTTCTTGGATTTTTTGTAGAGCTTCGGCGGGGGATAGAGGCGCCATTGGGAGTGTCAATTGACTTGATGTCTTAGAATTCCTTTTCACAGCTATGAGATCAGATAGGAGCAGCTCGAATAGTATGTCTGTAGGCGAATGTGATCTTTAGAATCACGAAACGAATCGCAAAACTGCCTCGCATGTCTATCGCGAACGTGCTAGCAGAAAGTAAACAATACGGATTTCCTATCGCGGAGAGTTTGCATTGTTTGTTTCGAGGCGGATGGCAAATCGATCTCCGGTCAAGCTTGAAATTGATCTTACTTCGGACTCAACAACATCACATTATCTCAAATGCGCTGATATTTTGGTCAAGGACTGCTTTGATACAGTTCAATTACTTGTATGAGCATACTACTCATTTTCTATCCATGCATATTTTTCAATCACATTCACCATGCCACTCGGAGAGATGATCGATGACCCTACAAGCAACGACGATTATGTCGCACAGCTACTTGCTTCAGAGGCAAAGGACAAATCGCTGAAATATTCTGCACTTGGACTTAAGGCCTACCTTCCTCGTCGGTAGGTTCAAGTCATTCTGGCCTGTGAGGTTTCGTTTTGCTTATGATTTGTCTACAGACCGACCGACCGAGCTCCGAAGCCCAATACGCGCTTTCTTAAAAATATTCTTAGAGATACGGATACCCATAACGCGGCATTGAGGCGTAAGGAAGAAGAAGATGTGCGAGAACGCATGCGCAAATTGCGCGGGGAGCGGTCTCCCCCGTCACATCGAGATCGATGCAGTGACAAGGATAGGCGTTATCGGGATCGGTCACCTCATCGCAGAGACAAGGAGCGCTCGTCGAGGAGAGAACACGTAGATGCCTCTTCGGGTAGAGAACACAAGTCTCGATCCGAACGACATCGCCGACGGTACAAAGATGACGATGACAGCGAATCGGACCGGAATCGTCAATCTTCCTCGAGATCCCACCGACGTCGCGATGATGACCGACGCTCGAAAAGATCGCGACATAGATCTTCCAGACACCATCGGGACGATAGAAGCGAGTCTCCTCGCCGATCGTTGTCTCGATCTAGATCACCAGATTCCAGAAGGCGCCGAGATAGTTATAAGGATTACGAGCGGCGAGAAGAGCATTCTACTGGTGACAATAGTACGCTACCAAATGCGCGCAGAGATGCATACAGTTTGGGAAGTGAATCCGATCCACTAGACGATATCGTCGGCCCATTACCAGCTTCGGCACGTGAAAAAGCGTCAAGTATCTCTACCCGCGGAAGAGGATCCTATCGCCAAAACACAAGCACAATCGACTCACACTTTGCGCGCGACTACGATCCCAAACTCGATGTCGACATATCAGACAACGACGAAATATCTTCTTCGAAGCGATTACGTCGACGTCCCGTTGCCGGCCTCATGACCAAAGACGAAGATGAAGATTGGAATATGGCCTTGGAAGCACTCCGAGACCGAGCGAATTGGCGACAGAAAGGTGAAGAGCGTCTACGTGCCGCAGGATTTGATGAAAGTACCGTTCAACGTTGGAAAGAAGATCCGGCTTTCACGAATGGCGGCGGCGTGAAGGGTGATGAGGGACGGATCGAGGATGTGAAGTGGGCTAAGAAGGGTGAGGGGAGGGAGTGGGATCGAGGGAAGGTCTTGAATGAGCATGGGCATTACGACGTCAAGGCGGAGTGGTAGTCGGATGCTCCTCTGATGTATATTGTGCCTATCGTACATATTCTTTATTGATACATCAAAGAAGATCATCCGCCGCATGCCACCACCACCCCATGAATAACCGAGTCAGTAGCAATCTTAAATGATTCGGATCATATGTCGATCTCAGGTCCCGAAACATTTTCAGACTGTACATACACAAATGATAACCACATTCATCATCCTCTTGCTGTCCTGCGCAACCATCGAATATTAGATATAAAAGTGTCATTTTCCAGCCAAGCCCGAGCTCAGGTACACGCATAAGACTTACCAACTTGCAACCTATCAAACCAAGATAGATGTCAATCCAGCTCTTAGTCCAGGTACACGACATAGCCCTAACTCCTAGATTAATCGCCACGGTCCCAAAATAGAACCGATAATTGGATCTATTGATCTACCGCAAAAGCCGATGTCGTCGAAGAAAGACGGAGATTTGCCTGTGTTTATATTAGTTTTGTTATATTTTTCATGTATATTAGTGTATACTATAAGTAAACTGCGTAAGTAGAGTAGTAATCATGTAAGTATCAAGTCGCAACGTTTCTGACGGTTAAATCCCGAAACGCAGGGCGTATAAACATATTGAATCCTCACATGTCTCGTCCACTTAAATATCTGAATACCCATGAACTAACACCACCTTGGCCACGATGGTCCATCCATGCATATATGCATGACACTACAAAAGTGGATGTGACTGCGATCATCCATGAGAATGCAACCTGAGCTCTTCTCCACAGTTCGCGTTTTCCACATGCTCGTTTCTGTTTGCTTGGATATCATTCGTTGGGTCGCTGTTAACACTCGATTAAGTACCTAAGTATATGTTTTGTTTTTCTATGAGATGGATTGCGATGTTACCTAGCTAATTCTCAGAGAGTTCGCGTGATTATTCGTCTATGATCGGTGGTCAGCGATGGTTAAATATATATAAAAGGCTGGGGGCTGAAGGTTAATTTACATTCCTTGGATCGGCATCCCTTCTTTACCACCGTTCATCATTTTTTTTCGTGTTCGTAGGCTAGATATAGCTATTCATATAAAGATGAAGTCGGTTCTTGCCCTCGTCCTAGGTGCAGGTGCAGGTTATGCTACAGCTCAGTCTTTGCCGGACTATGTACTCACTTACGGTACGTCTCTTCTCTCTTCACCTTCCTCTCAAAGACCTCAAAGACCCAAGCCGAAAAGCAGGTATTAACAAACATAGCGCCCCTCGTCTGGCTCGACGTCAACGAAACCTATTTCCCCGGTGACATCTACGGCCAAGTGAAAAACACCTATCCAGCCCTAAACTACACGCGAATCACCGGTTACACCACTCCACTCACCCTCGACAATCTCGATGAACTCAATAATTTCGGTGACACGGATGTCTACCTCACTTCGAATGAAGGCATAGAGGCTTTTCCGGCTTGGTTTAATGGTGTACAGCCGAACACGGATGGTGTCACGGAAGGTGCGACGAGTTGTGCGATTGTGACGGTTGATCATGGGGATGGGACGTTGGATGCGTTTTATTTTTACTTTTATTCGTGAGACTGCCCTTTTTCTGGTTAGGTTCCTAATGGAGCATTGGCTGATGGTACCAGGTTTAATAAGGGTGATATTGTGCTTGACTTGGTCTGGGGTGACCACGTCGGTGACTGGTAGGTTGACACCCACCTGATTCGGAACAAGGCCGTCATCTGATTCCAGTAGGGAGCACAACATGATCCGATTCCAAAATGGAGAGCCACAGGCTTTGTGGTACAGCCAACACGCCGGCGGCGAGGCTTTCACTTATGATGCCCTCTTGAAAATCAATGGTAGACCGGTTTCTTATTCTGGTCGGGGAACCCACGCCAACTATGCCATTGAAGGGTACGTATTGTCCAGGTCATAGTCCAAAAGTCATAGTTCCTGACTTGCCTGCAGAGTTCACGACCATACAATTCCCGGCGTCAACCTTCCATTCGGTCCACTGAATGACTATACCAGCAACGGCACACTCTGGGATCCAACTGGCAACTATTATGCGTACAGCTATAACAACGTCAGCGCTGTATTCACGGCGTACGATTCCAGCTACCCTGTCAACTGGCTATACTTTGATGGCCAATGGGGCGATGACCAGGTTCCTAACCAGGTCGGTGTCTTTGGCGAATATAAATATATGGGCGGACCTAACGGTCCCAAGTTCAAGCATCTCGTTCGCACAAATGTGTGTCCTGACGGAGATGATTGCGATGTGCTCGATTATCTTTGGTATTGAGACATGTTGGAACGTCGATCGAGGGTGACTCCCCCATGATAAGGCAATTTATATATATATATATATATAATATAGCGATGCAGTATGATAGAAATCATATCTATATCTTGGCTTTCGATCAATCATTTCGATGCAGTCGAGGTGTTCTATCGACGTATATTTCTCTTAGCTAGAGTGTAATCAGTAGTGACCACTGAAGTCAATGGGTTTTTGCTTCGACAGCGTGCTGATAAACTAGTCTCTTGTTTCAAAATGCATTCACCTGATTTGGCAGCAGAACGTGCGATCGCCAAGGCTTAGCCCCTGAGTTAGTGCCTGAATGGTGCCTGAATCAGGCGTCTGCACGTGATTGAATTGATGTCCTCAGTCTGATTGGCCAGTGGTAGGTATCCGTGCCGTGAGATTTAAAGTGGAGATACTCCGGATTACTTTTTCCACCCTCAACAGAAGCGACCATGAGGACTGTTGCAGACTTGCAGCGCTGTCCTGAGGCCGTGTTAGAATCGCGAATCGATGCGTATACTGACAGTACTATTGTTGCGACGTTGTAAATCACAATTCGACCGATCTAGAGAGAAAGCGCCAACTCCTACTCAGGAGGTTCGCGGAGTCTAGTGGCCGACGGCGTTATCATCCCAACCAACGACAGCTTGACTCTCGCCGAGTGGAGCACACGAGCTGGCTGAAACGGGAGCCCCTGAATTCTGTCGTGCTGTGCTCTGTAACCTGATTGCCGGAGATGTCTCTGCTTTGGCTTCTGGCCGGCGTCCATTGGGGAAAGCGCCAGGGACAGAGACTTAAGCTCAGAATGCAGTTAGCAGGAGTGGAGAACACAGGACTTGTAATCTGTAGAGTGTACGGAGAACAAGCTAAGAAAACCTCGCGCGAATTGTGTAGTCGAGTCGAGACTCATCGCCGTCTTCTCTTCGAAGTCGTGTTCTTGGTCTCATCCGCTTGTCCTTCGTTTCTTCTACCGCGGAACCACTCTCATTCTCGTATTGAGACGTGGTGACCGTAGTACCAGTGAGAGCCGGTCCGTCTCTCGATTGCGTTTCCTTTTCCCTCTTTCCCTCAGCCCCTGGCCAAGGTCTGAAAGACAGACAATCGCTTGCTGGACTCGTGACTGTCGTCTCGGTCGACTGATTTTCAGTATTTATCGTCGACTCGCAACCGGTAGATAAGCCTGTGATCAATCACCTGTTCATTGCGTCGTCAGGAGGAATAGGGGTTCCACAATCGACTCAAGGGTACCTAGACAGCGCCGACAGGAAATATTAGCAAGAACCGCCACTTCCCTGTGTCAACGTACCGCGACGTCTGTCGGCTGTGTATACAATCCATTGTGAGTGATTGGCTGCTCCGATTCATAATAATCGTCTGTTGTACAAGCACACAAGCAATTATCCGCTGTGTAGACGTCTCTTGTGACGCAAAACGACGGAGTAATAAATACTGACGCAGAAGTTGATTTTATTTTAGGTGAGGTTGTCTAGTTGTTGCTTCCCCGCCCCAGCAGGAAAGCTCCTTCCCTCTGCTAAGACAAACATGGCCTCCGTCCAATCTCGTACGCCCGGCGGCAGTCAGCCTCCTCATCCCTCTTCTCACCCTCCTCCGCCACCGCCTGATGCTCTTCCATCCTCTGTCAATGACAGTACCACTCGTTTGAGCGTGAACAACTTGGATGCGGCTACTCGAAGATCTTCGCTAGGCTTTCTGCGTCGCCCCAAATCAACTGAACCGCTTTCTGAGCGCAAAAGCTCCAACGGCAAAGTCAGCAAGAAAATGAAGGAACAAATGAGAGAAGAAGAGCTACGTCGTCAGCGCGAATCGATTCCAAAGCAAGCCCCTCGTCTCCCTGACCTCGCACCAGCACCGAAAATGCAGACGTTTGGTGGAGAGGAACAACTCGCCAATCGAATTGCCCCAGTTGTTGAAAGCCGAGCAAGCTCTGCGCACGTCAGCATGCCGCCACCAGCGATTGATCCTTATGCAAGAACTGAGAGCATGACTCATCGTGGTCGTTATAGCTATGCCAGCAGTGCAGTAAGCACCATCAATAGTCCCCGCAGACTCCGTCGACGCAAGGACCCTACCCCTTACAAGTGAGTTGTATCCGCAGTGCGGTCCCACGTGTAGCATCATGATATAGGAACTAATCTATCCTCAAATAGTCTACTCGTCGTTGGCGCTAAGAACAGCGGAAAGACATCGTTTCTCAACTTTTTGCGCAAGTCGCTTGCGCTCCCTCCAAACAAACACCCCATTCGCTCTTCTGAAGATATCTTGGAGGAAATCAACTCGTCATCCAACCCTAACTTTACCTCTCACTACCTAGAGACTGAAATTGAGGGTGAGCGAGTAGGGCTCACGCTTTGGGACTCCGAAGGTCTGGAAAGGAACGTCGTCGATCTGCAATTGCGAGATATCACTGCCTTTTTGGAAAGCAAATTCGAGGATACTTTGATGGAGGAAATGAAAGTCGTACGCTCTCCCGGTGCTCGCGATACTCATATTCACTGCGTTTTCTGGATTCTTGATCCTGTCCGCTTGGACTCAAATCTCGCAGCTGCCCAAAAGGCTGCAGGACAAACCAATGGCAAATACACCACTCAATCGCGTGGTGTTGGCATTCTTGATGAAGACCTCGATCTCCAATTCCTCCGTGTGATGCAAGGAAAGACGGCCGTCGTCCCTGTAATCAGCAAAGCTGACACTATCACCACTGCGCACATGGCCTACTTGAAGAAGGCGGTTTCGGATAGCTTAAAGCAGGCCAGAATCGATCCGTTGGAGGTGCTCATATTGGAAGAAGCCGAAGACGAAGACTCCGAGGCCGCTGCCGACGACGACGAAGACTTGGATGATACCTCACTTGCGGAGCATGGAACAACCGAGGATAAGGCTGAAGATGGAGATACTGAAAAAGCCCCTAAATCTTCTCCAACACGAAGCCACAAGTCAAACCACTCAATTTCTTTGGCTTCGAATTCCGATACGCCGTTCATCCCTCTCTCGATCCTGTCACCAGACCCGCATTCCTTGAATAATCCAGATCTACCTACTGGTAGACACTTCCCATGGGGTTTTGCAGATCCGTACAACCCAGAGCATTGCGATTTCGTCAAGCTCAAGGAATCTGTCTTTAGGGACTGGCGTGCTGAACTGCGGGAAGCTAGTCGCGAGCTCTGCTACGAACGCTGGCGCACAAGTCGACTGAATATAAAACAAGAAGCGCCTAGAAAGTCTAGTAATACCGGACGTTTTGGACCTCCGCCTACGAAAAGTGGTCGTGCAACTCGATAGTTGCGCCATCTGAGGTTTTCTTTTTTTTTTTTTCTTTTCTTACGTTTATCTTTACCAGAAGCGGGATTCTTACCAACTTCCATTCTCATTCTTTACCGATACAACAATTTCCTATACTTGAACTCCTTTCTGTGTCTTCTCTGGCCCGGTGCCGGTCAATGATCAATTGATCACTCTCCTACACTGCACCATTTTCTTTTCAACTTCCTTTCCCACTCATGAGACTGCATTCGATGTGACATATGAGCAACAAAGTATCATCTCAGTGGCCACGCCTGAGTAATGCAGGGAATATATGCGATCGCGTTTTGGACCAGTCACTAATCAACTCGACAGTCTAAAACGCGAGATGTGTACTATTAGCATATTATTCTCTATTCGATTTTTTTTTCTTCTTTTCATGTTCTTGATTCCCACCCCCCATGTTAACTTTTGTCCCGTTATGGTACATTTTTGAATTGAAAAGCACCTGCATACTTGTCCTGCATCAGAATTGATCTAATTCGTAACGCATAAATGTCCGGGGCTTAGAGTCTGGTAGAGAGGATCTGATTCCAGTTAAGGCTCGTAACTTAAAGGTGGTATGAGGGTATGTAGGCTCCTGATCCGACGAAGCCGATGTTGATATCATAACCCTAACTGTCATTTAGCAGCTCATTGGGCTACTGCTGGACTTGCTGTAGACGATGGTCAAAATAATCATCGGGATAAATTATTGGATACATCTCGTTGATGGAATCTCCGACGTCAAACCGTCCCTATACCCAAATACAGGATTATTAACCATTGACTCGAAGAATTCATCCAAATACGTCTCAATTCCCTGCGCCTGCAACTCTGCATCCCGAAAGTCTTTTCCATCACCAGCCCCATTGCCTCCAGAAACGGCAGTATCCAACAACGGCGAAAACACAGCGTCCAAAAGGGTCTGATACCCTGTTGCCGGATGCGCGAGTGGATATCTCGAGCAGATAATATCGAAAATCTCCGCTGCCAGCGTGATTAAGCGAGAAAGAAGGCTCTCCTGCCGCGGACGGCATGGGTACCGCGATGCAGCGGTAAGTGACGATGAAGATCCAGCGAGCGCGAGAATATTTAAATCGTCGTCTATCGCGCCACGGGCGAAACACAAAACCAAAAATACAGCGGCGAAACTGTGGCTGACCCATGATGAATCTACGGAAAAGCTAATGCGCTCGACAGCTATACGGTTGACGGTTAATGGGGCTGATGGAATGAATGGTATGGATGAATGTGTACTCCATGTCGCCCAGGTAGATTGCCCGGATAAAGCGAGGATTGTTTGGCAGGCTGCTGTGAGAGAGACGTCGAGTGCTTCGAGTGAATGGAGGGGTACGTTTCGGGGGTTCAATGACGATGATTCAGGGGCTGGACGAGCTAGTAAGGTCGATAAACACGAGCTGTTAACAGTGAGCCTATAAGCGCGTAGGGCCGTGAAGGGCATCTGGTCATGCATGAGTTCAGGGCCCAGGGCTTGGTTCCAGTGTACCTCCCACGCATCGAATTCTAGGTTTGCGCGCCGTAAACTGAAAGCATCTAATGCGCGGACGTTGGGACTACCACTACTTCGCGCCGCGTGCTTGAGAATAACCACCAATTCACACAACGCCGCAACACGCATGTCTTCTGGCTGAAAGGCATCGCGATGCGATGCAAAAGTCTGACATACCTGAGCCACGGGCTCCGGGTTCAAGCTCGCAGGTAATCCACTGGACAGCATCAAATTTGCGTCGTTGGTGAGTAGGTTAATCCATACACGCAATCGTGCTAGGTCTTCGATAGTCGCTGACGATTGTTTTTCGGGTAGAAATGCAGAGGGGGAATCTTGTAATCCTAGAAAAAGCGCGTAGCGAATAGCTAGACCGAGCATACTCCAGGCTGAGACGTCGTTATATCGTGTTCGTAGTCGACCACCACTATTCTGCACATCAACCGGCATCCATTGCACATATAACAACAGGGCTTGAATATGTCCCAGATGCACATCTGACGTACCCGGCTTTAGCAACAATCGGCTTAGCGAGACATCCAGAATCTTCACAATCTCACGATGTTGCGGTCCTGCAGATGGGAATGGACCCATAAAACGAAAAGCAACCGCACATATCGACGTGAACAATGTCGGACATGCGAGACGCACGCTCGCTGCCGATTTCTGTGTTCGCGGACACAGCACAGGAGCCCATTTGTGGCATGAGGAGAAATATAGATCAAATGCTTCTTGGGCCTCGGTCAGGGTGATTAATCCGCTTGATACGGGGTCATCCATGGCTTTGGTCTGGTCGGCGCTGTAGTTGTATTGTTGGAGGTGGCGGAGGGTGGACATTGGTGTGTCAAGATGGACTGCGTCGAGGGCTGCATGATGACGGCTTGGCAGTGGTTGATTGTGGGTGGTTGTAGTTGCGACGGGGGAATAGACATCGTATCCTGTATGGGCAACAACATCGTGCACTTCTGGCGCATCGGGTGTTTTTGCATTGGCATCGGGATTAGACTCAGCCGCTCGATCGGACAGATTGTAACCTGAGTCTCGTCTCAAAACCTCACTTTCTGAATTGCCAGGGTAAAGACCACTACGACGCTCTTTTTCAACTCCAGACTCAGCATCTAAAAGACTTATAATCCTCTCCAACCTCTGCAACCGCCCATCCTGCTCCGCAACCCTCTTCTGCAGTCTCTCCAACGCATGCGACGTTTTAACGATGACAGTAGCTCCATCATGACTCGCGTCAACCGGCGAAGTCGTAAACGAGCACTCAACACCTAGATGAACACATCGACTACAAGCAGCATTGGGACTTTTGGGTGATTGGCCATCGCACCGCTGCTTCCGGACACGACATTGAATGCATGCCTTGTTGGTTCTGCGTAACTTTGTGGGTGGTTCGTTGTAGTTGTCTACATTTCTGTGTCCAGTGCTGATAGTACCACTCTCAAAATCGGATCGTGAGCCGGTACCCATGATGCATACTCCTTTGATGCGGAAGAATCGGTCTGCGAACCGTGACGAAAGAGTATTAGGATTAATAAACCAGGCTGTCTCCTTATCTTATCAGGATTTGTCTTATCAGGAATAGGACCCACTTAACACGTGTTTATGTGGAGATTTGATCATATTTGCATATGCTGATTGGACCGGATCTAGATAAGATAACACCGGCTTGTTGCCGATTTGTTTATTTAATTTCTGCTGGATATCGAAGGAAGTAAGAGCATTCTTATAAGGGCATATTCTATCCAGCTAAAGCAAATTTGTATTGGTTGGGTGCTACAGCACGTATCGACGTTCAGATAATCAATTGCATATCGTGATATTTTCAGCTTCATCATACATAGACGAAATCCTATTCTGCGCATATCCAGGCGAAAAAAGTGTATCAAAATAAGAGAAAATAATCAAACGTATATTCGCAAATCAAGCCATCTTAGACGAACTCCTCGCCAACTCAATACAAAACTCCCCCCACTCACTACCTCCACTAGACGTAATGACTTCCTGAGCAATAGCCTCTTCAACACGCTCCTTGTAGCGATACCGGTATTCCTCTTTGACCAACTCCAAATGTTTGGGTTCCCAATGCAACCGCACAAGTCGGGAGATGAGAAGTTCGGAGCGCTCTTTGCTGCTGTGAGATTCGCGGATTGCTTGATGTAACAGTAGAGCATCGCGCATTGGTCGATTGACTGCCCCGTTGAGGACGTGAACCAGTGTTTCTCCCTAGAGAAAGTTAGCATGAGTTTGAGACCGAAAGTAGAAATACGTACGACAAGATTTTGCGACTTCTTAATCACATCCTTGGCAAAATTCGACTTGTATGCATGATCATACACCCTCATAATCTCCCTCAAATGCGCATCATTCCGTAACAGAACAATATCAATCATGGCCGTCTCACCACCCTCTCGCGCAGTCACCGCTCGACGCAATGCAACTACATCTTCCTGCACTTCCCGAGAACTAACCTGCTCTTTACTAGACTGTCGCTGTTCACTGAGTGCCAACAAAATCGCATATCGAAACTTATCAGCTTTCAGCTCGGATTTCATGCATTTCTCAAGACTATCGGAGTATCGCGCATCACGGAAACAGCTCTTGATTTCACGAATTTCGGCATTACTACGACCAATAAGCGATTCAATGAGTAGCTCGCGTCGTGATGTGCCTGCTTGATAATAGCAATTCGCCCAATACGCCTCTGATTCCCATCTGCCGAGCGCGGTTGCATAGCACACTTTGCCGAAAGACGTATTCCCCAATTTCAGTTTGATATGCTTCGCAATGTTGATTCCTTTATTGTGAACTTTGGCGTGTTTCTTGTACTCTGCACGCAGAGCCAATATTTGATCGCTGCTAAGATTCGGTAGAATCTCCATTAGTGGTCTGGTGTCGATACCCGAGTGACGAGATAGAGCATCTTTCAATGCAATCGCGTCATCTTCTGGTTCATAGAAAAGAACTTTCTTCCGGCTGGAACCTGGAGTAATTGTGATGATTTCTTCACCACCCGCATGACTGGAGGAGTGTCTCGAATGACGTCTGCGGTCCTTTTCCTTTTCGGTTTCGCGTTCCTTTTCGCGCTCCTTTTCTTTGCGTTCGTCTCTTGATCGACTGTACTTATATTTTCGTCGTCGGTCGGACCCAGAAGATCCTCCAAGCTCCTCTAAATCGGAGATGTCAGAGTCTCGGGCTAATCCGACCGGTCGAGCAATTGGCGATGGCATTGGAGAGATAGACTGATATGTTCCTTTGTATGCTTCGAGCAGCGGACTAGCTGGTGGTCGTCCACCAGCTGCACTCATCCCACCGCCCACCGAAAGATTGCTGGATACAGACAGACTATGGGGACGGCCCTGGCGACCCACGCTTTCAGCACGAGAACGGCCTGGCGCAATATCGAGGAATTGAGGTTCATTGCTGGCGGTGTATGAAGGCTTGTTGGTGGCAAATTGATTTTGTGCAGTGGCCGTATATGCTTGTCGATCATTGGTCTTCGAAGTATATCTGATATTCGGGTCTGGATTTGCGTATTGATATTGACCTGGGGCTGCGTATGACTGCGTCGCTGTATAGCCTTGACTCTGGGGATAGTGCGTAGTAGGTGGCGGCCCTGAAGTAGCAGGATATCCCCCTGGAAAAGCGCCTGGGATGGACTGTGTGGTTTGCGGGTGAGCACCCGGCGGTACATAACCCGGCATTTCGCTAGGAGGAATAGGAGCCCAATTCGGAGGCAGCATCGGGGGGATCTGACCGGAATTAATCTGTGCTTGGATTCTGGGGTCGGCATATTGTCCAGGCTGAGCATGTACAGGTGCGTTGGGCTGTTGATATGCGAATTGATCCGGCTTAGCATAACTAGGATGGCTACCAGGACGATCATGAGCCGAGTCATCTAGACGATAAGAAGCTCCGGCTAATTTTGAAGCCAATTTTGACGAAATAGACTCGCGTGATGAGCGTGGATCTTGTGCTGATTGATACAGCTGCGGCTTCATGTGGTTAGGAGCGTCTCCATACGCAAGAGCACTGAGATCAGAGTCGCTGCCCGTTTCGGAGTCACTATGATAAGCCGACGAGTGTGAGCGACCATGACCCGAGTTACGATAGGCGCGGTCCTTCTCTGCTTCATTTTTGTAGCGCGACGAGGTTTTGCTGCTGGTATACTCGGAAACTTTATCCTGGAGGCCTCTCTTAGTGCTGCTAATTTTGCTACGGTCATCTTCAGAATCCGAATGATAATAACGGTCTTTCGCACGTTCCTTCGCCATGTACTCCTCCTCAGAATCTGTCAAATCATCATATTTGGAGCTCCGCTTGTCGCTGCGGCTGCTGTGGCTCGAATATTCACTTCGCTTGTTGCGTCGGCCTTCCTCTGCCGAGTCGGAATCGTAGTATTTCTTGCTCGTCGACACTGTCCGAGGTGTCGGCGCTGGCGATCGCGAAGCGGTACGGACATCGCGCGATTGAGAGCGATCACGGGTTCGCCCACTGGGAGATTTGAGCGACCACGCGAACGTGGATCGTTTACTTGTAGAGTGGACATGGACTATTTCACTGATCTTGTAGGGGTAGGGTTTGTGTGGTTCTGCGTGATGCGGGGTATACAGACGAAGTAAACAATAGCCGAACAACAACGATAAGCCTGGACGTTCATAAAATGGGAGAAAATAATTTCGACTTGAAATTACTGATAGGAATAAAATATTAAAAGAAGAATGACGCGTTCCGGCAAGAAAGCGCACACTAAATCAGCAGCGCATGAGGCTGAATTGAAGCTTGACCATTGGGATCAAGCGACTCTCTCGTAAACAAATGAGAACAGTCGCTGACAGCCCAGGATGACCCGCTGTTAGAGTCAGATATCGCCTAGACCTTTAGACGACTTCTAATCCATGCTAGCGTGCAGCAGAGAGGAGTTTTACTTTTGAGCTTCAGCTGAAGACGAAACTCGCGCGATTTCACCAGATGCCGAGCTCGTGATGTGCCTGACTGATCTGGTCATTCTTCCCCTTTCCCATTCTCTGTAAGTCTTCATTTGCAGCAATATCAATTATTTCATTTGTTTAAGTCACGCACCTTACATCTCAAAATGTTCATCGGCCAATACGAGGAACGAGTCCCATTAACAATCAGGCCCCTCCCCGCTAACACTTTAGCAGTTTTTAGTGGCGCTGCCCCTTGCCAATAAGACATGTCAAGCTGAACTTACCTCCGTACGGTCGTTCGGGCTGGTGGCCGCTGATCGGCTGGAATATGCGCTCAGTGCATACAGAGTGAAACCACTCACTCCATGGACTGTGTGTAACTAACTGATAAGTCTGTGTCTACTCTGGATGACCCCGGTGATTTTGTTAGTACGATTTTCTTGCAGGGTTTAGATGCCAATGGATTCTGCCCGTCACTTTTTATTACTGATCTAATATTTTGTATGGCCACCTGCTGCATCTATTACAGCCTGACATCTTGCCTGCATGGAATCAATCAAATCCTTTAGAAACTGCTCTGGCAGTGCATCCCAAGAAGCCCGTACAACCTCACGTAGTCGATCATAAGAAAGAGTTTCCTCTTCCGGATACTGCTCCTGAATCCAATCCTTCATCCAATTCCATACAGCTTCAATTGGATTAAGATCTGGGGAGAATGCAGGCCAAAAGATAGGATAGATATTCCGAGATTGAAGCTCCTCTATCGTATCCTTACTTGCATGTCCTGGTGTGCCATCCTGCATAAGCTGTAGAAATGTAGATGGCTGTCGATTCATCAAGCGAGTATAGCCATCAATAATAGGCACAATTCTTTCGCGATAACTCTCAGATCCAATAGTTCCCCATTCCTTTTCCCAGAATAGACATGGGCCCTTAGCATCTCCATGAAATGAGGCCCAAAACATCCATCCACGTTCCCGAGGGTGAGCCGTACGTAAGCAAGTCTCATCTAATTCTTCACCAGCTTTCCTAGTCACCCAGATTCTTGTATGGAACCCTGGAGTAACCCATGTCTCATCAGTCCACAGGATTCGGTTCCACTGTTCAACCGTCCAATTTATGTGTTCAAGAGCCCAAGCAAGACGTACACGTTTATGTTGATCTGACAGAGGAGACTTAGCTAGAGCCTTACAACGCGTATATCCTCGTTTTTTGAGCGCTCGACTTAGTGCAGCTGTTCCAACAGGAAGCTCAAGCTCTTGGACAACCTTATAGTAAGGCATACGACGCGTACGTTTTGAAGAGCTAATCCATTCAATAATCTTATCGACATCAGTCTCGGATAGCTTCGGAATCTGGCCGCGGGCCTTTTTTGGAGTTGTCTGCTGACTTTGACACGTATACTGAACCTGGCGATAGCTAATTTGAAGCTGCGAAGAGATTTGTGAATAGGTAAGTCCAGCATCCCGTAGTGTCAAAACCCGAATACGGTCATCTCTCGTAAGGCGCGTTGAATTGTGATTTGCTTCACTAGCAGTTGCTAGACTCGTAGAAGGGAGGTCAGGCTCTGGGGTGGTGGCCATATTGATTGATTAGAGAGGGGATAGGTGTCCTAGAGCATATAAGAATTAGAAGTTCCATATATTCCATATTGAATAGGCGGTCAGTTGAACAGCTGACCGCCTAAAGGATTCAAATCCCTGTAAGGTCCACCGTACTAACAAAATCACAGGGGTCATCCGTAGTATTGATCTCTGCTGGCAGTGACATACTTAATGATTGAAGTATTTACTCCACGATACTGCCAGTATGATTTTCCATTCGTAATATCGTCTTCGTAGTCGCGGAGATGAGGCCATCAGAGTCGAGAATATGGCTAGTCGGGTCGCGATGTCAATCCGCGCATCGCAGCTGTCAGTGTAACTCAGACAAAGAATCGAAATATCTTGTTGCTAGATTGGCACTCGATCGACTGTCACGTATCACCGACTGACTTGCAGACGGTTTCGCACAGCCGATTTTTGGCTTCATCCCTTCGGGCTTCATCCGCCTCTAGCCCGATGCATGTCTTCAGAGTCATGTCATGCTATATCTTGGATGAGGACTATCACCCGACTATGCAGGTGAGATATCTAACTATTCTGCTCGATTGGAGAGACTATTTCTGTCGATACCGCATAATCTCAACCTTCGCCTGGATGACAACAAGCCGAATCTACAGGGGCCTCGCATATATCTGACTGGCCCGGAGTCCTTCATAGTCTAATGTCTATTGGAAAAGCACCCATGTCCGGGTTTTGAGTCGTTGCGATGATCTTTGGCTTATGCGAGACCCTAGTGAATGCCCCTGACGCCAACAGTTCAACAGTTTGACAGCTCTTTTTTTCCTTTGCTGTCGGGTAAACTGCACTGACCTACAGACCCATTCATAACCGTACAGAAAGTCACTGGAAACTATGCATGCGAAACGATTTCTAATCAAAGATAATCGCTTACACCAAAACTTCTCGCAACAGGCGGCATCCCCGCCGTCAACCCTCCATCAACCGGCAAACAAACCCCATTCACCCCTTTGGCCTGCTCACTGGCCAAAAATGCTACCGCACCAGCTACTTCATCAACCTCCAATAATCTTCCCAGAGGATACCACTTCTTCAAATCCTCAAATACACCCGGATTACTCTCAATTTTTTCCTTCCAAGCACTTGTCATCACCGTTCCCGGAGCAACTACATTAGCCCTAATCCCATACCTGCCGTATTCTGCGGCTATAGTTCGCGTAAATTGGATAAGACCTGCTTTTGCGGTACTGTATGCTGGATTACCGAATGTGCCAAGTATTCCATTGACAGAGGATATATTGATGACGCTCTTGCAAGGCTCGGTGCTTTGTTTGAAGGCCTCCGCAAATGCGTCGAAGCAGAAGTAGGCCGCGTTAAGATTTAAGCTGATTTCTTTTTGCCAGGTTAAGGGGGACATTTCGTGGAGAGAAGCTATTTTTGTGCCGCCGGCGTTGTTGACGAGTGTTTTGAGACTTGCTCCTTTGAAGGAGAGTATCGTTTTGGCTGCTTGGGATAATGCTGATGGGTCGGTCACGTCACATTGTACTGTGATTATCTTTTCTTGTATTTCCCGGGGAAGATTCGATATAGACTGAGAAGATTTGTCCGGATCCAAGTCCAGAAGGAAAATATTTAGGTGTGTCGGGGCTAGATGTCTGGCGATTGCCAGGCCGATGTCGCCTGTCCCTCCAGTGATTACTGCAACTGACTGCTCGTCCATAGTGGCAATCGATAGATCTCTTTGCAATATTTAGGTGTGAAACTTCAAGAGTAGAAGAGAGAAGACTCATTATTGAGAGATGATAACCGAGCATTGACGTCTGCGGGGGTCTCCACCAGATATCAGGTTTGTTCGACATGTAACATGTACTTTTTTAGTCTGCCACGTTGCATCCTAGGTCATCTATGTAAACTGACCGTTCGATGAAAAAATTATTTACCACCTCAAGATATGATCCACATTATCACTAGTAAATTTCTGCCTCCTTCCATAGCCCATCTGCAAGCACATTCCTCCCTGGCTTTCCATCAACCGGCAACTCATTCACGAAATGCCAATAACTCTTCTCTTCCCACTTCTTCACTTTCCAATCGTTCATTTTCCCATGGGGAAATATATCAATTACATCCCTCAACGCGGTGTCATGCGCAGTAGCTACAAAGACATTCTCATCCGCGTCGAATTCTTGAAGTGACTGACAGTCCGCAAAGCCATGGCCGGGGAGTGCTACCACTTCGAGTCTTGTGCTGGCTGATAAACTGGTCAAGTTCGCGCTGCATAATCATCGGTATCGTCTTTATTATGACTTGGATGTCAGGCCGTGAACAACGAATATGGGTATGGAACTGGTAATCGTCCCGAGTCAAGATACGTCTCAATTAGTAACGTCGCCGGCATAGTTATACAGCGTCGGTCGATACGCCCAGAAACTGAGAAATATCAACCCCCAAACACATCCCCAAAGACGTCGTGAGCATCGTATTTTCCGATTCTGAGTCCATTGCCAAAGGAGACTTCGATCAAATCTCGCCCATCAAAAACCGCTTGATATAGGTGCATTGAGAGGGGGCGCTGGGAAAGCTTTTATTTCGGCGATTTTGATTTTTACTTTGCATATTTGTCTTTCCTATCAATTGATCAAATACTAGTGGACCAGTGAATCTGTTATCACGAAGAGCCGGACTTGTCTCCGATGATATTACCTTCCTAAGGGAAATAGCCCTAACCCTCATCCTACACTCTACTCCCTTTTACAGATTGAACGAAGGGAGACATCCTTTGCCTGTCAATGATCTTTTGATTACAAAGAACCCTTAGGCCATTTATACTCAGGCCAATCAAACTTCGTGTCAAAAACTACATCCAACCAGATGCTCCCTTGTGGGAATTGCTTCACTGTGCCGTCCCCAAGATCAAATTCCTTTGCTGTGTGAAACCACTTCCAATCACTGATCATCCCATTGCTCTCAGCAACTTCCGGCTTCAGTCTTGCAACCGCATCTGACCCCGGACCGCACTTACTATGGACAATCTCATCATCCGTACACTCCTCATAATCCCCCGGCTCAGCAACACATCTCCCCGCTCTAGCATGAAACAATATACACATCTTCTCATCTTCTTCCGCTCGTAACTCTTCTTCACAGCCAGCAATTTCCGGCCAATTGTTTACAGGAGTCCGGTAATTCTTGTATACAGAATGAATCAACTGCTCCGATGGCCCCGAACTAATTTCCACGTCATTATGCATCCAGGCCACCATGGACGCCTTCACAAGTATTTCGTGAAGTACATCTGTAGATGGTGCTGCAAATCCAGTTCCGTCATCATCCAACTCATACTCAGCCGCGAAACTGTCGATATACCAAACCGCGCAGTCTGTGGTAGCCCATTCATCGATGAGTAGAAAGGGATAATCGCGATTTGCTTCATTCTCCATAGCGCGTATGTAAGAATGTGTTTTGCCAATGTATTCGTCTGGGGCGTGCTGGATATTGAATTCAACCTGTGGATTGTAGTGGAGAGCGGCGCCGTGTTCGAAGCGGGACTTGAGTTTGTTTAGGGCTGTGGAGGAGATTGGGGTGAGGATATAGGCGTTTAACAGCGTCGTTTCGGCTAAATAGCGAGCTGCGATATCTCGCGGAATCCAGACCATGGTGATGCGAGTATTTGAGTAATTAAATGAAGAGCTAGCTGAGGGGTATCGATACCATTTTATATTAAAATACCACCTCACCCACGTGATAACTTGGGGTTTCAGGCTATATCTTACCCTAATAGTTCATCAGGTTACGAGGGTGACGTCAGTTTGCACGTCGTCCGGATTGTAATATTTGACTATTGTATTTCCAGATTCTATACAAATGCTACTTTCGATTAGGAAGCTTCAAGTAAACCTAGAAGCCAGGATGCGTATATAATTCTCCGCGGATCTTTAATCATGCCAAACTTTCATAATCACAGCCCAAGGGCAAGGGCCGTCAGACCAGAAATCGCTCCCAAACCAACATGCACACTGACTGCCGCCGCAGCCCCGGTAGGGACGCTGGTGCTCGCAGATGTTCCGGATCCTGTCATGTGTCCACTCGTACTCGTAGAGGGCACAGTCACAGCAAATGACGCCGATGAAGCCCCAGTAGTTACGGCAGCCGCAGCCGCAGCCGCAGTAGGGGCCTTGCTATCAGAGACTGAGGTCGAGGTTGATTCTGAGGATGCAGCAGTTGCGCTCTCTGATGAAGCGACTGTGGCCGAAGCTTCTGCGGCCGTATATGAACTAAGGATACTTTGAATACCGGATTCCGGACCGGTAAGATAGACGCTGAAGTCATGAGCACCGCCGCCTGGGAATTGAGTTGTTAGCAATAATTCATGTCAAATTGACCTAGAAGGCACAAATATCGACTGCATCAAGGACATATTAGGCGAAGTGGACATCAAAACGTACAATCATCCACCGCAAAACCAGCACACTTCATATCGCAATTATCCGCATTGACTATGTCGGTAACTGGTGGAACAGCATCACCACACCAGCAATCAGTGCCATTTTTCAGCGCAAGGTAGTTGTGTCCAATGTTGTTGCATGCATGTCGGCAGTATCCGACTGATTGGAAAGTGAAAGTTCCATTGTTGATGTAGTGAGAGAGAGTTTCGCTGTTGCCAGAGAAGCAGCCGAGCTCAAGTGCGGAGACGCCGGTGGCAGCGATGAGAAGTAAGGTAGACCGAAGCATTTTGTTGGATGATCAGTATGATGAATGAGCGACTGGATGAAGGAGAATGAGATTTATATTCATATCAGAATAAATAACGAGCGACAAGTATACGAACGATCAACAAATATGACGAAAGGTGAAATGAGATTTGAAAATAGTCGTTAGTTGCTAAGCTTAAAAAAATTAGGTACGACTTTTTAGCTCAGTGGGAATGCAACACAAATCCAAGCTGCGTATTGGACTGTGATCCCTTCAGCCGCTAAGGGGCTTTCAGCCTCACTGTCCACAAATCCCTCGGCCTTATCCATATTGGGACTGAATCGGGAGCGTTGTAAAAGATGGTTGGGTGGGACATCTATGGGTCTGCTCGGCGGGCTTAAAACATGAGACAGTCGGCATGTTTCCGGGGTTTATTTCAGACCTTTCCATCAGAGCTTTGATAATCTGATATAGGCATGGAGATGTCTGACGAAAACGGGCTTCAAACTACTTAATTCACCACCCATTAACGGGGCTCACTTTCGGGCGAATGTGTACTTGCGATTCTCAGGAGACGAGCTCCGGAAACGGTTTGAACACTCCCTCGACGATCAACTGAACTACTAATTGCTTGACGGATTTCTTTCTACCCGGATGCTCAAGGAAAAATTGTCATTGATCTTTAAGTCATGATTGAAACGAAAACTAAACACATTGGGGACAAAACAACGGGATCAGCCTCCGATGTTCCTGTCGTCCTGCGCAAGACAATACTTTGAACTTGAAATCTGCTTACTTGATATCCGACCTCTTCAACTCTTCAAGAATAGTGCGATGTTCAGCTGGAGGGTCATCCTTGACAAGATCCCACAACCCATTAACCTCCTCCACAACCTCAGCGGATAACGGACCCCGTCCTAGAGCATCAAGTACTTCAGTCAACTGTGGCCCGTACCGAGCACCGATGATCTTATCCCCGAGCTCGCCTTTCAATCGAGAGTGATATGCAATCCATCTATAGGCGAGCTCTGCCTGCGAGCACTTAGTTTTAGTCGTTGCAATCTTACCAAACTTTTCCAGAAACTCCATAACGTTGGGTTTGTTGTACATGCCATAATACAATTTTCCGACGAATGTGTTGATGTCCCAACGCCCTTGTCCGCCTTCCTTGATCTGATGGGGTGTCTTGGCCAGCAGCCCACCGGCAATGGGCGAATATGCATGGAACACCATGTTATATTTCCGAATTGTCGAAAAAAGCTTCTTCTCGATCAAGTGATTAATGGCATTGTAATTTCCTTCGTACACGGTTGGTAAGACGAATCCTCTCTCCTTCGAGATACGAACGACATCCTCAATCTCTGCTACAGAAAAATTTGATAGCCCAAACCTCTTGAAAACACCCTTTTTGTAGAGCTCATTGATCCCCTCCAAGGTATCCTTCAGGGGGACACGCTGATCAAACCCATGAATATAATAAACATCCACCTGGTTTGTTTTCAGTCTGTTTAAGCTAGCCTCTCCGCTTCGGATGACATTTTCCTTTGTGGCTGGTGTTGTTGAACCCCCGGCTCCATGCCCTACTTTTGTGTCTATGGTGAAACCTAGGGAAACTGCGCTGGCGGCACCGAGAAGCTCTTCGCTTCCAAGGTAGATTTCGGCCGTATCGATAGTCTGGATACCGTGGTCGGATAGGTATTTTGAGGAGTTCGGCTGTGTTTTCCGCGCTAAATCCCTTGTTTGGGGAGATGACTGAGCCACCGAAAGCAATCTCGACTGAAGAGGATGTCATTGTTATGGACTGCGACTGTCGTCGTATCTATTAATCAACAAAATACTTGGTGATATCGACCTTAGAAAGGCAAAATGTCTGATACCAGGACATCTTGAAAATAACGGCATTGTCCATGGACATTCCTCACAAAAATACCGGGCAATCCAATCCTTTTCCACGTTGTACAACGCTCGTTGTTGTATCCATTGGGAAAGGACTATTGTATGCATATGCATCACGACAAAGCTCTTCGATTTCTACTGACCCTGCATAAGTAACCAGGTAGTTCAGGGCTGAGATAACATTATAACAAAGAATAGCAGAAAGACAATTGCCGAGTCGATGTCCGATCACTAATTTCGCCCGATTTCTGGTTGCATGATAATAGTGGCTGCCTTCATTCGAGTAAAACATTCAACAGAAGATAAGCTTCTTGTCTAGGGTAAATAATAACCTAACCCTAAGAATTATTAGGCAGCCAGATTTGTTTTGTCTCAAGGTGATCTCGAATGTTGGAAGAACACCTGATACTTATTAGTATTCCTCTATTTTATTGGGGTCTAAAAGCCAAGCGAATCCGAATCTCGTAATAAATGGATACTTTTCTCGCAAGCGTCGCAACATCGCAACACCACGCCACTGGCGACAAGCTCGGAAGTCTTAAGAAAAGGCAGTGATTGAGTAAGTGATCACTGTGGTCTCTAAATCTCAGGACCAAATGGCCTATTTTAATGCCATTCTCCCTTCGTCTTTGTGAGAAATCTGGGATTTTTTCAAACACTTGACCTCAATACTACGTATTAATCATGGAGGATAAAGTTGCTCTCAGGAGACTGCGTTTTGCAGGTGAGTCTTTATATTAGCAATCTTCGGAAGGTTTTGTTAACTTACTTGCAGGCCGTCTCGAAAAATATTTGACTGCTAGACACTTCTTAGGATTTTACAGCAATGTAGCCGTTAGCGCCTTTTATTCGCATCCGTCGCCTCTGGACGTTGGGCATCTTCAAACCCTCGTATACAAAGCATTGAAAGAACTCATCGCAGACCACCCTGCATTGGGAGTTAGTGTCGCAGACGAAGATAAAGCCCGGCCATATTACATGCAGCTACCGACTGTCGACTTTTCAGAAACGGTTACATTTATACCCTCCAACACAATTCCCGACCCCTCTGATCCTAAGGGTGCAGATGCTCTAGACCTATTGCTCGAAGAACAGCACAATCACAATTTCAAGGACAAGATGGCTCGAAAACCGCTTTGGAGGTTGTTGATTGTGCACAAACCGACGGAAAGCTCTCAATTTGTCGCTTGCTTTGTATACCATCATTCAATATCCGATGGGACATCCGGACTAGTCTTCCACCGACATTTCCGCCGTAAACTGTCTCAAATCTCAATCGACGATTTGAAACAGAAGGAAGGTGTGATAGTAAAAACTTCTTCAAAGGCGCTACTTCCAGCTCTAGAAGATCTACATCCTCTACCCCTCTCTATTCGATATCTTCTCAAAGCGTTCTGGGAAAATTATATCGCCAGTACCAAGTCAAAACAGCGCGGCTTATGGCCAGCAGCACCGGTAACAGGTGACCCGACAAAACGAAGGTGCCGGTTTCGGTCAGTTCGTTTCTCGCAGGAAACAACTTCTCAGCTTGTAGCTGCTTGTCGTGCGAACTCGACTTCTCTCACGGCGGCTGCGCAAACAATACTTGCTGCTTCATTATTCGCTAATCTTCCCTTGGATCAGTTTTCAAGACTGCACTGTGACGGGGCCGTGTCGTTTAGAAGATGGCTCCCAGTCGATATGGTTGACAAAGACAGTATCGGGAATTGGATATCTCAGTATCATCATGAATACCGATTCATTCCAAAGAATGAAACCTCGCCTATCGATGCTATCGATATATTCTCCTGGGAGGAAGCTAGAAAGGCAAAAGCGACAATCCAGAAAGAGGTTGATAAACAGGGCAAGGACAGTGTTGTCGGCTTATTGAAATTGGCCGGTAATTTGCACAAGTACTTCCAAAGTAAAATTGGCAAGCCGAGAGCGGAGAGTTTCGAGACGTCTAATATTGGTACCTTGGGTTGTGACCAGCAAGAAGTCTCAGACGAAAAGAGCAGCTGGACCATTGGAAGGGTCGTCTTCGGTCAAGGTGCCGAGGTTACTGGAGCTGCACTTGAAGCTTCATTTGTCACTGGCAACGATGGATGTCTTAATGTGGGCTTTTCATGGTTCGAAGAGATTGTTGAGAGGTCTATAATCGAAAAGGTGATTGTCACCTTTAAGAGGACGATAGAAGAAGTTGTTTCGAAACATAATTCTACGGTGGAAATACCCCAGCAGTCGACGAAGCATTAATATGAGCAAATTAGCGCAAAATAGAATCTATTAATACCACCAATGGCCGAAATCAAGCTCCTTTTATGCCGACTTTGGATCTGGAGTGCTAAGGAAGAGTACAGCATGCAGTGTTATTTGCCAACCAATGCACCGTACATCCTGACCGACAGTGATCGAGCTAACAAACAAGTTCCTGAGCTGATCAGCCCCATATCAGGACTAATTTACCAGTCAATTATGCCCTAAATATTGAAACTGGATCGACCTTCCTAAAGGCGATTAGGGCTTCTCCAGTCAGCTGCGATAAGATAAGCCGGACGGATTCACCATGAGGGGAAGCGATCACGGCATTTTCCTTTCTCTTCTTCTCTTCTTTTTGAATTGAATTTTTCTCTTAAACCTAGTTATATCAAAGGTATAGTCACAAAATGCGTGTTCCTGTAATTCTCATACCTATCCTGGCTACAGGCGCAGTTTCGCGCTCCGTCTCGTTCGTCGGCCAAACTCCGATTGCAGACAAGCAACAAAGCAGCACGCTTATACTAGACGCACCGCGCGGCGATGTCTGTCCGCTGCCACCAAAAGTTCCGCCGCCAAAGGACGGTTTGCATTCCTCTCTAGATTTTGTCCTGGATCCTTCTTATCGATCACGGCAAGTTGAACGATTGTCGCGTGTTGTTCAGGTGCCCAGTACCTCCACAGAGCTGGAGGATGATCCATGGAGCGATTATTATGCGCCTTTTCTCGATTTGCATGATGAATTGGAAAAATTATTTCCATTAATGTAGGTTTAATTTCCACAGAATTATTGGGGGGAAATCGACTAACAAATACAGACATTCCTACGCCAAGGTTGAAAAAGTGAACCGTTTCGGCCTTGCCTATACCTTCAACGGCACCAATTCAGCACTCAAACCTGCGCTGTTTATGGCGCATCAAGATGTCGTTCCTATCGATGATCCCGATGACTGGACCTACCCTCCATTCTCGGGCTACTTTGATGGTCAATGGCTTTGGGGACGGGGTTCCAGCGACTGCAAAAACACACTTATCGGTGTCTTATCTGCAGTTGAGGATTTGCTGAAACAAGGCTGGAATCCGACTCGCACCCTTGTCTTGTCCTTTGGCTACGATGAAGAGTCTAAGGGCTGGAAGGGAGCCGGCAGATTGGCGGAACATCTCGAGAACCGCTATGGAAAGAACAGCTTTGAGTTTATCATTGATGAAGGTGGAATGGGTATTCAGACTATCGGAGACAAGATCTATGCCGTTCCAGGCGTTGGTGAAAAAGGTTCAGTTGACATTCACATCTCTCTCAGTATTGATGGCGGTCATTCGTCTATTCCACCGGCTCACACTGGTATCGGAATCATCTCCGAAATCATCTACCACCTCGAGCGAGAGGACTTATTCACCCCTAAACTAGACCTCTCACACCCATCTCGACAAGGACTAACATGTCAGGCCAAGCATTCGGCGGACTACGTCGAACCCTGGCTCTGGCCCGCTCTTGAATCATCCGATTACACGGGCCTAGCTGAAGCCCTAGCTGCGTCCCGCGGCGAAAGAGTGCGCTTCCTCTACCAAACCTCACAAGCAGCAGATCTCATCAACGGCGGCGTAAAAATCAACGCCCTCCCAGAAAAGATCAATGCCACTGTAAACTACCGAGTCGCCATCCACGAAAACACAGACGTCGTCCGCGCCCGCGCGATCAACATCATCACTCCCATCGCCAAAGCCCACAATCTCACCTTTTCCGCATTCGGTTCGGGCAATAAACGCTCGGCAAATAATAACCATCTCGACATCTCGGATTTCTCTCTCGCACTTGAACCGGCCCCGATTAGTCCCACGTCGCCTTCTGATGCGATCTGGGCGCGCCTGTCTGGCGTCACTCGTCAGTTCTTCGAAACATTGACAAACAAGACCGTGCTAGTGGTCGGGGACGTTATGACCGGTAACACCGATACGCGATTTTACTGGAATTTGACGCGCAATATCTGGCGATTTAGTCCTATGCGCACAGGCGGGTCGGAGAATATTCATACGGTGGATGAGAGGGTTGATATTGATGTGCATTTGGAGGGTTTGGCATTTTACTATGGTATGTACTTTCCTCTCGTCGAAAACTGGGATTTAGCTGATTTTGGTTGCAGAATTGATTCGTGCGTTTGATAAGTATGAGGATTAGCTGTGCCTTCAGCGAAAAGATGCGATATAAACCATGGAATTGTACGCTGGTACACATCTAGAGACATACGTAAGGTCAAAGGATCTTCGAGTATCATAACATAAGTTAATCAAAACGGCACTATGTACATTCTGGAGCATATTCGCTATCAATCATTCATCTGGATATAATTGTAAGATTGGCATAGTAAAAAAGATCTGTCTAGCAGACCATGTGTGATTCACCGATTTTCTCTCCCCAGATTCCATGCTACTTCCAGACCTAAAGCATAAAAACACCCAAGATAGCACCAACAACACTACTCAACAATCCCATGTGCGGCGCAGCACTGCCACCCGCAGCAAGCGCAATAGTAGGCGACGAAGTAGGCGCTTTTGTGCCGGAGCCAGTAGCACCACTTCCACCAGGGACAACAGTGGTCTTGATAATTGTCGATTGCGGAACCAGCGACGTAACGGATCCAGAAACGAAGGTTGAGAAACTGGTGCTGGACATGGTGATGGTGCTGTTTCCGCCGGTTGAGACTGAAATAGGTGGAATGACGGTGGCGCTGGTTGGGATGCCAGTTACGGAAGTTGTTGTTGTTCTGTCTCTTAATTAGTATATTATAACAGAACCCAGGATTAAAGGGGAACGAACCCTGTAGTAGTGGATACTGGAGTTGAAGATGCTATGGCTGGTGAGCCGCTGCTTATAATCACTGCAGTACTGCTACTCGTAGTAGTCGTACTGGTTTCAGATATGAGAGGAGGGGTGGAGCTAATACTGGTTGTTGTAGACGTAGCCGAAGCTGAAGTCGTAGTGCTACTACTACCAGACGTAAAACCAGATGTAGTAGTACTCGACCCAGAACCATCACCGCCACCATTCACAACGGTGAATTCACCAGACTCCGGAAATGCGCCAGTACCCCCATTCCGAGGATCCAAGACAACGTGATAGTTCCCTCCATCCGCGACGCCAGTGAATGCCGCGACATGATAAGAAAACGTTGACGTGGCTGTACCTGTGATAGGGGACTGGGTCACATCGGTAGCGACCAGTTTTCCAGGTGCTGGATTGGCAAGCTCGATTTCCCAGTTGGTGAAATCCGAGGAATCGTAGGTCCAGACGACGTCGAAGCCTTTGGTTGCGTCGACGGTGTCGCCGTCGGTCGGCTTTAGGATGTTGATTCCTTGAGTTTATTAGTCGTTTTCATATTTTATGAAGATGAATAGCAGACTTACCTTGCGCAGCAGAGAAGAAAGTGGCAGTCGCCACAAGCGAGACGGGGAGAAACGAGTGCATGATGAATACAAGAGATGTTTCTGAAAAAGTAAAAACAAACAAAAAATATTAGTACGTACTTGTATATAAATAAAACGATTGACTTGGTCAAATCAGAAATAAATCATAGAGGGGAAACAAGATCTATATAATCGACCGAACCAGGGTAGCATCGTTTACTCAACCCTGGGAAAAGTCGAGCGTTTCAAAGCCGAAACCACGGATTGCCCCAAATTTAGACTTGAACTTGAATCGTCCTTTAACGTACTCCAAAGGTAAGAATTTAAGAAATCGAATGTAACTCTGAAATCTCCGTTGGAATGTTAGGATCTTAACGGTATAACCCCGGATTTGACGGTGTCCTCGCAGTAGTAGATGTTTCAGGGCGGAAATTGATGGGTAAAGATACAATCGGGAATCGTTGGTGGTTGAGTGTTATGCAGATAATCGAAAGAATAATCCTTAAACTGCTTACCTGAGAAGCAGTCATACTAAATACATCTCAGAATAAGACATCATAGATCATGTGCAACCATAACAAAGGTACACAATGGACATGATAGCCAGAAAAGTGATGACAGATCAGCCAATATTCAGTAAGAATGTAAGAGCTAAGAGGTAAAATGCAACGTCCCCCACCAATAAACTTCAGAAGATCATCGCTTTTGATCCGGTGCTTTTTTTGTCATTTCAACTGTGCTTGTTTCATATTTTTCTTGTAAGGGTCTGTGTTGAGCAATGAGCGTTGGGTGCACTAAATTAGTCCTGTCAGGGTTGTATGCAATGGGGGCTATCAGGAGGATTGCCTCGTAGTACTCCGTACATATATACCAGATGTCCTTTGATGCCGCTTGGCTTCCCCTTTCTGTTTTCGCGCTCACTCCCTCGCCACTTTTACTCACTGAGTTGTACTGAGCGAGCGCTTGAGCACACTAATCAGGTTAATGAGCCTGATATAAGCTCACGAACATACTCAGTGAGCTGAAGCTGAACAGTCTGATCCGCCCAGCTGAAAGGTTAGGGAGTAAATTGACTATATGTGTTTGATATCATTCCTTTTAGGCAAATTTCTCGATATGGGACTCATCAGAATAATTTCTCTGGCCTGAAAAACAATCCAGTCCCTTTAATGATGAAATGGTTTAGGGTTATAATAATGTGGTGGCTGGTTCTAGATGAGACTTGGCCTTGTGATTACAAATTAAGTCTTTATATGACATTTAAATATACTGTATAGTGCATCTATCAAGTAAATGGATGTTATAAAGTGAATGGCTCATTTCTATCTATAATCTGTTGTGAACGTGAGCGGGACGTGTAATTGTCTGTATTGTGTATGTCTATCTTAGGGAAGAAAGCTTGGACATAGGTGTCCATACAAAATATCGTGCAGATGTGTGTGCGCTAGTTTGGCTTGGCAAGGAATACCTTTGGATGGTAGGAGAATGGTATATGGAAAAAGTATACGGGGGATTTCCTCTACCTTTTTTGTGTTTACTTGGTTAAGAACGTCTTCTCTTCCTTCATACCCCCATGGTTGTTGGAAGTTGGAATGTTGGAACCAAAATCACGTGACTAGCAGAATACAGAAATCGACCCACGAAAATACCAAAACCCCTTTAAAGGTGTCCTTTTTGGTGAAATGGTATTACGTTTAAGTTCCGACAGAGCCGTGTTGATGTGTTGGCTGTTGTTATTGGTTATCTAAGCTAACTACAGCAATGCTGACCCCTTTATAACGGACGCACTATAGTGGGATGATGATGACTTGATTGGTCTCTCTCTAGGTCTCCGTAGGGAGCTGGTAACTAAGCAACGTCATGTGACACCTTTTACGGGTCACATGACTCTCGGAACATGTCGGAACGTTGGTTTACTAGAGCGATGACTAAGCGAAGGCGAGCACTAAACAATACGTATAAGGAGGTCTATTCTCCGGCACTCCTCTCAAACCACTATCTAGGAGTATTGAACCTGTTTTTATATACAAGATTCCATAGAAGTGATATCACCAAAAGTCGACACTTGTGCAAATCGAACTTTCTAGAGATAGGCTGTAAAGTTGATTTGTAATGTTCAATATCGCGTCGGAATGTGATGCCAATTCTCGAAATTTCTTGATACGCAAATCTTGTCCTATTCCCAAATTGGTTTAGCTCATTCTGAGTTCCAACAGAACATGGTTAATACGCGCCGGAGGGAGATCCATGGATATATCATATAGCACGCTGGCAAGCCTCACAGGCCAGCCTGTCGGAAATTAGATACGTGATTTCAACACAGGACGACCGTACGAGCGGATACGGAACGTTTGCACCAGAATACAAACCATTACCAGAAAGCCCATAAGGGGGTATCCTCTTTTGTTCCAACAGAGCCCGTATCCCTAGCTACCGCCCGTGTGTCTTTTTCGTAAAATGACAGGCTATGGTGACAGCCTGTTCAATACAACGCTTTTCTTAAATAGTGCCAGCACTCCTGCAAGTTGGCTTCGTAGCGTGTGGGTTCTATGCTGTATATTTCATATCAAGCCTAGCCGTAATACATGGCTGACAGTATTATTATTGTTAAAGGTCCATATGGTCGCAACTACGGCTAACTAGTTGTGTTAGGGTTAGGGCTTTAGTCTATACGAACTATTCCAGCGTCTTCATAATACCACTGTCATCTCTAAAAGGAATTACGTGTTATCGAGCTATATCTTTCACACCTGGCCGGACTGATAATACCAGCCAGTACCAAAGTCCATCACGATTAGAAGCCCTGCCTACACCTTATGAAAAACATCCTTCAAATAATCAAATGCCCCCAACGGGACCCCCAAATGCCGCATAATACAATAAGCCGTCGTCAAATGAAAGTGGAAATTCGGAATCGCATAATTTGACACGTATTCCTGACCAGTCGCAAACCGGAAGTTACCCATTTTGGTCTCCATGATCACTTCTTTATCCTCCATCGCATCCATGGCTTCGGGCTTGGCTGTCTCGAGGATCTCGATTGTGCGCTTGATGCGTTCTTGGAGTTCGTCAAAGGTGGTCTCGGTATCTTCTAGCGTTGGGACATCGTGAGGTCCAAGGCGCTCGATGGTGAATTTTGCTGTGTTGGAGCAGCTTTGGACTTGGTACGCCAGTCTGTTGGGGAAAATAGTCGGTTAGTTATATGAGTGGTTTCAACCAGTTCCCAGGCGCCTAGTAGTAGAGCTTACCCCCTCATATCCTCGATGAGCCGAAATGACAGCATAGATGCAGCTGTCATACCCTCCTTCTGTTCGCAGAATTGGGCGCCTTTCGTAAGCAAGTGCGAGAGGTTAATCAAGTAGTGAATGAAGACGGGGACCGTCTGCTTGTAAAGGCCAGGCATGGTGGATGAATGCTTTGCAGATAACTGCACCGATACAGATGGGAAAATAGGTAGGTGGAACGAAGTCTTGATATGAGGGAAATATGAGAACCCTTCCCTACGCTTTATATACCCCCACACTTGATTGAGATTGACAAATAAGAAACTCTGTTTTGGGGCTGATAAGACTAAATAATGCAACTGACAACTTGACAGCTATTTTTACTTGATTAGGGCTGAGCAGCCTACCAACACTGAGCTGAACATCTCGTTTAGATTCGTTTAAAAATGAGGTTATTTAACTGCTAATTCAGTTACCAGCAAATCAGAAAGTCGATATCAAGATCTAAACAACTAATCCATGCAGCTTCCCCGCCCGAACTCTTTGTTAAACCGATATTTCCAGGCTGCCAGCAGTGTCTAACCCTGGGCAAGGGTGAGCCATCCGCTGCCTTCCTACAGGAGGAACATAATTAGCACCAAGTTACTAGTTGTTGGTATTGGGCTATATACATGGATTACAAAAACAAAGGATTGATTGATATTGATTGAAAGCCATTTTGTGACTGCATCCAAAAAATTCCTCCCCTAGCGAAATAGCCTGGAGCTAGCTGGCAACTCTTTTCAGGTGGGTGCGGCAGATGCTCGCTATTACTCCATGTCGGACTGATCTTTTGCGCTGGATAATTGACTAATGGCTTCTATTGATATTGTTGGTTTAGCCGGGTCCTGGATCACGAAGCACAGGATTGCGGCAAGGGCAGTCCAACTGCCCTACGTGGTGAGTCTAATAATATTGAAGTTATTCCTAATATTACGACTGGTTCCCAAAAAGGGAGGAGAAGGATAATTACATGAGTAAAGGGGATATCCCAGGTAGTCGGAACGGAATAACTAATATTCCGGTGTTGATACTCAACACCTGGGGATTCCCGTACACACAGATATATTCGGTGTCCCAGATATCACTCTCGCCTAGGTTCGAGCATCTCAGTTTGACGCATAGCGGAGGTTGGCTGTCGTGACTGATGTTCCATCTCCTACAGGGCTCCCATAATATTCGACCGTCACGTCACCACATATAATGACCACAGCTAGCTATTTACTACCATACTAGATCAAATATTACGAGCGCAGCTTTTCGATCTAGTTCACAGGAGTCCCAGAAAACTACTGCTTGTTTTTGATATTCGCCTCCACTGATCGCTTCGTCTTCCAGTATCAGGGTATGGAACGGAAGAAATGAAATCGGAAGGACGGTTATACTATCGGCCACGTGGGAATATTCTTTGGAGTACCTGCTCGTAAGTAGATTCGAGCTGTTCTGTAGTTCTAGAGCTGATCTATTATTTCCATCTCGATGACGGAGAGGTAGACATCTAAATCGCTCCTGCCATAGACTCGGCCTGGTGAGAGTGGTGGAGCAATCGTTTGAGTGCATTTAATAATATGTATCGACCATGAACTCCGGAGCCACCTGAATGTCGACTGCAAGTCTTCTATTGCGGTATTGTTGGATTGTACAGACGAGATAGTAGCAGTTGACTTCTTCGATCCCTGATCTCCATGGATGCGTGGATAGCTGTATAGATAATGAGTTGTATGTGCAAGCCCATGGCAAACGAAAACAGGTCGAAGAGGTAGTTGCTATATAACAGGGATCTGCTGAATAAACAGATACAATAAAAATCGGTGTAACTCTCTGAAGGGCTCCTTTGGGTTCTACGGCTTCCTCATAAAGCAGGATCTTGTGCTTGACATAAGCCTCCTTGACATCCTTATCCTTGCCATATCGATTGCCTTAGATTGTGAGCTGACAATATTTGTGTACTTGACGTCGGACACTATATCGACCCTCAAATAATCGTCTGGAATGGCATCCATGGATCTTGGTGTCACCAACCACGAGGATAGCTTGCACTGGAACATTCGCTGAGCGTTCCGGTTTGGCTGGGTTCCGGGGGGTTCATCCACCTGAGCCATGGCTTCCGACCTTATCTTTCAAGGCTGAAGAGGAATTGAGAGCACTATTCGTTCATTCCTCTTCGCCATCTTCATCATCTTCATCGTCTTCATTGTGTTTATTGTGTTTATTGTGTTCATCGTCTTCACGGTCTCCCGGGAATCCCTCAGGTATATTGTCATCCAGATTCTGCTCCATAAGCTCTTCTTCATAACACTCTTCACCTTCCTCAACCAGACCTTCCTCATCATCCGAGTCACAAATCCATCATCCTCAGCTTCCGGAATATCATCATCCAGATCCCTCTCCATTTCCTCCAGTCCAAAACGTCGATATAGAATGATGATGAGTGGCTGCAGGCACCAGGTCTCTTCGTAGATCTATGGTGGAGATCTGCCCAAAGTACCACGGAATATTATAGTCGCCATTATATTAGCGTGATGTGAATTGGTTCCTGGATAGAGTATTGAACACCGCCTTGCCAACGCCGAGAATTCATATGCATTCTGCTACCAGTTGATGCTGAGGACTCAAGACATATTGGGTGCACACGTTTTGCAGGAGAACGTTTCACAGGAGGAAAAGTAGTCACTTTTCCCGGGTCCATGGACGGGGGTTGAGATCGCAGAACTGAACAGGGTACAATATTGGTACCATTTCCGAGGTTGCCCATCCAAGGAATATTGTCGCAGTCATTTGTGAAGCAGAAAGACCTTTTGGTCGCTCAGCAAAAGGTTGAACTTCAGTATATATCATTGCTGTCATCCATGGAGGTTGTTGAGGTCGGGATAGACGTGAGAAAGTGGACTTCTGCTCTGATATAACCATAGACCAGAAAGCAAGAGAAAAGACGATGACTGTTGATCTCCAAAGAGCACTGCTTGGGGGGGCGAGTTGGGCTCTTGTATGCTCATCCCAGCCTTGGTTGTGGCAATTCCACATCCGCATCTAGACCATTGAGTGTAGAGAGCAAAGCGAATCTGACAAGGAGATTTCCTGTTAAGGAAGACTGACAATGTTGTGTACATAAGCCAGACTAATAATGCACATTAACATAACTTGCATTAAGAAAGTGCAAAGGCCATGGGTGATAAAGCTGGAGCAAGGCTGTCCCTAACCCATTGTATAGTCAAAGGAATGTGCTTGAATCCTTTGTAGAGTCCAAAGGGCATTTTCACACAATGAATGTAACAAGACATAGCCAATTATAATAAATAGCAATGGCTTCTTTTGTCCCACTTCCATGTTGTGGGAGAACATTGGATGGAATATCTCCAAGAAGAGAACACAGCCATGCACTGCTGGAGCCCCCGCCACCCCCACAGTCATCTCCAACTACGCATCAAAACTAGCCTGACATCAATATACTTTTCCTAGGAATACATCCTCTCCATCTATTAGAAAATGCCCCTCAAAATCCTCTGCTTCGGCAACTCCCTAACCGCAGGCTTTCGATCCTACGGTATCGAACCCAACCACCCTTACGCACTCGCTCTCAAAGAACAAGTGCTCTCCGCCGAACTGGACCCTTCAACCCTTGGGGCTGACGATGGACAAATCGAGATCGACGTTGAAGGTCAACCAGGCGATTTGGTGAATTGTCCTCCTGGACGGTTTTTGGAGAGGATGAAGAGGAGATGTATGTTCTTCTCAAAAGGCTCCAGGGGAATCCCAAATAGAGAGCAGTTAAGTAGTCTGACACTACAATATTTGACTATAGTAGACACAAAAACATACGACTGGGTCATCGTGCTCGGTGGAACAAAGTATCCTCTCTCCTACTCATCCACCTACCTATCTAGTGAGGTCAATCTAACATTGAACCTATCCATCAATAAAGTGACCTAGGCTACGGCTCCTTCACGCCAGACGAAATCTACACGGGGCTCAAAACAACCTGGTCTCAAGCCCTAACCTCCTCACCAACCACCAAAATCCTCGCTCTCACCGTGCCTGAATGCGCATATCGCTCGCAGAAATTAGATCGAAATCGAGATGCGTTGAATAAATTGATCCTGGAGCATAAAGAGGATCGATTGTATGTTTCCAATCCCACCCCAAATCTTCCTAGTCAGTGGTAAGTGTTGATAAAATCTAGTTATACATTTGACCTCAAATCTGCGATTCCATATCATACCATGGATGAACAACGCCGGGAGCAAATCTGGGATGATGGATTGCATTTTACGGACAAAGGGTACGATCTGATGGGCGAGATTATTGCGGTGAGACTTTTGGAGATCTTGACAAGGTCTTCTACATAATTCATCATCGATGTATGCAGATAGGACTGCGTACTTAGGGTTAAACAGGTAGATTACAACATTTGTGCAAGAGGTCAATTGGAAATAAATAGCATAAAAAAGACTGTATATACGTGGTGGTATCGGCGGCTTAGACCAGAGCATTTTCAAATCAAGAAAAGTTGATTTGACGTGGCGGTTGTCTGTCTGGAATATGAATACCTCTTTTCCGAAGATTCTCAACGTCTGCTTTTTTCAATGGGACTTGATCAAAGTTCTTCGGAAGTTCATTATACGGCAATCCACCTCTGTCCTCACAGCTTAGTATACGGCCTCTTCAATCTCGAAACAGGAGGGCGAAGGACTTACTTCAATTTGATCATCACCAAGTTTCGTGCGCGATCTTTCAAATCGACCTGCTTTCGTGAAAGAAGCACTCTATTCCCAAGTTCGTCTTGAGACTTGATCTTGGACCAGCTAGTACCGTGCTCCTCCACTAGACGAATGAATTCCTCATCTTCTTGAACTGTCCAGTTTCGACGAATTTGTGCCGGTTTTGGAGGTGATGATTGAGATCCAGACGCCGCAGTGGCAGATGGAGCAGCTCGACGAACAGGCGGAGAAAGACCTGTCGAGTCTTCTCGTTGGTTATCGTATCTTGCACGTTTTGCATTTTGCACGGGTTTTTGAGCACGCCTATCATCTAGATCTATGCGTCTGTCGTCACTCTCGAATTCGCCATCTTCATCTTCATCGATGTCATCTTCTCGTGCGCGTTTGCGCGATGAGCTGGCACCGCCGCCAAGTCTTTGTGAGTCAATTGGTGACACTCGAGAAGCAGTAGTCTGGTGGTCGATAAATGCTTGGGCACTGCTTTGCAATCTTCGATTCACTCTACCATGGTGTCCCGCCGTTCGTCCTGCAGGTTGACCCGGTTGTGGTGTTACCGGGAGCGATCTTCGCGCAGTCGCCTTAGTTACCCTCGAGAAACGAGCTCCAGGTTCCGGCACATTTTGTCTACCAGAGATAGCCACATTTCCCGTGCTTAGTCGCTCCTTGACTCGAGCAAGAGCAACCAAGGAACCCAAATCGTTGCCGAAAGATTTTGCTCCGCTTATCTCACGTTTCTCCATAATCTCCGCTGCGGGAAGAAGCTCACGCCGCTGTTGCTGACTAGCCTGTTGTCCTTGAAATGCTGATTCAGATTCATTTAGTTGGGTGTCAAGAACCGCGTCACCTGCTTGATTGAACGAGTTCTCAATCTTATCGAGAATATCTTCCACACGAGGTTGTTGGTCCAAGTGACGGTTGAGTTCTTCATTTCTTGAACGAAGCCATTTGGCGACTGTAAAAATGAATTCCTCCCAAGGAAACCGTTCCTCAAGTGCATCAAAGTCAACTTGACCATCAGCATTGAAGCAGCCGGTGATTTCACGGAGCTGGTCCTGAACATCCTGAACATACTGTTCTGGAAGATTTCCCACGCTGTCTTGGAATGCTGGCAGAGGAAACCCACGGAGTGAAGATACCGTATCTGCTGAAGCCTGCGTATCGAGATTTTCGTTGTAAAACACATCATGTAGCAACAAGTTAGGGTCAAGGCCCTTTTGGTCCTTCTCAATGAGAAGACGCATCTTCAGGAATTGAGTTCTCACTTGAAGTGCCAGATCGAACGTCTGACGACGGAGACCGCTCTTCCCCGCGTCGTTGACTAGATTGTCGCTTGCCAGTGTTTTCAAAAACGGCAATGGAAACTGGCCTTCGAGCGCATACAAGCTCTCTTCAACATCTTCGGTCATTGTGATTCGAGTCAGAATCTCCAAGGCCAGCTGAGCACAGTTTGACTTGTAGATGATGCCATCAACACGCCAAGACTTTGATTCGTGCTCAATAGGTGGAAAGATGGTAGCCATTCTGTCCAGGGGGATGTAAACATCCGAGCCAAAGAATTCCAACTGGGAAGAAAAGTTGGTGCTTAGGTATTGTAACTTTCTACTTTGACTGCTCTTGGGATTTGCCAAATGTCGCGCAAGCTCTGCGATGCGGCTAGGCGACGAGAAGCTGGAGGAGAAAAAGTCAAGCAGCCGTGTAGATGCAGCTTGTAAATTGGGAAGCGACTCGGCCATAGCAATGGCATCGATCTCATCCCCATCAGCATCAGAGTCTCCAGGCAGAAGGGTAGCGCCAGACACGTCGTGGCCATTGGGCGAATCAGGAATAGCTTCATGCTCCAGTTCGCTATTCAACTGTTGCCGTGCTGCGCTCGAAGAGACAGCTGAGGATTCAACATCTTCCTCATGCTCAGCATCAGCCTCTTCACCAACAGGTGCCAAGTCTGTCGAGACATAGTCAGCGTCTATTTATTTTGACTGTGTCTCTCCCATGGTGTTGAGTTGATCGTCTTTGTATGTATGTAACAAGCAAATGGGGAAGTGAGATGGTAATCGGCAAAAAGTCTCAAGGTGGGGGGTAAAAGAGAAGAGAGCGATCTCAAGGAGACGTAAAAACAAATAACGAAATAATCAATGTAGGTGATTGTTATCGCTATACTGACCAGGTTGAGCTTTCTTCCCTTTACCCTTGCCGTTGCCGTTTTGGGCGATTGCCTCATCGGCTTCACGACTCTGACTTCTGGTGCTTCGCCTTCCGCCAGGAACCTGCGACCGTCGGGGTGTAGTAGTGGTGGTAGTTTGTTGCAACTTTACAGATTTTGCAGCTACTGGAGTAGCAGTCGCAGCCTTACGTGAGTCCTTTGTCATGTTAGGGGTTTGTGTTGGGGTTGCGGCCGACCGCGTGGTACGCGGAGTCGCGGTATCAGGGTACTTGAGAAGTGGGTTGACAAAAGACGACATAATCAGGAAAGAGTATGCTGATAAGATAAGATTGCTAGTACATGGGATTGAAGCAATTGCATGCAAGATGTTGTCTTCGGAATTGATCGATGTGAACGAAGGCAACAATGCAAGCTGTTGTGATGCTGAGAAGAGAAAGAAAAAGAGGAGAATTTCTTGTTAAAAAACCTGGGGGATGACAGACTATCCTAACACTAGGGTTGGTTCTGCCACGGCTCTCACCGCTCGCTCCTTAGTTTCGTAAATGACAGTATGCCAAGGCACGTATTAGTTTTACAAATGTATTACTAGAACTTACAATCTTTAGTTGTCTTTTATGTAGCATCATCAAATCAGTAAACGTTATTTGGATTTCATACGATACAAAACCGACCCATATCGTCACAAAACAGGTTTTTATTACAACCCTAAACCTAACCCTAAACCTAACCCGCCCTTTATCCTCCGGAACCCTACAGGTGACTCGTAACAAAAAGACAAAAGAAAGAAATTCGAGGATATTGCCGGCACTGGTGACAATTTCAATACAGCAAATTTTGGTGTATCACAATTTTTCGATAGCACAACTTATAGCATATGTACATTGATTTTTGTGTCGTTTTAATGATTATTGGATCCTAAACTACTTGTTTGCATACATAAATCGCATTATTTAGCATAGAGAGCTACAATCGCAACCCTAAACCCTAAACCCTAAACCATAACCATAACCATAACCATAACCCAAACCCTATGTTTAACCCTAGGTGAGTTAGGCCATCATACCTGACTCAGAAATGGCTAAAAATCGACCGAAACGATATGGTACATTCGCAATTCAATATGCAAAAAGAGGCTCTTAATAGAGATATACAGAGAAATGAGTTGATGTAGAGACTCATTGAGCATCAGGATGCGATGTAACCGGCCAATCAGATGACGGGGACGAGGTTCTACTGGCAGCCATAGAACCTCGAACTCGAACTCTCACCCAAGTCAACGAGCCACGAGTCGATCTGTCTTGCTTTCAGCTTACCCAATTATTCCATGCGGATATTTTGTTTCTATACCAACTTGATTATCATGCTGACGATAGAGAGAGGTTCCTAATAGCAGTATTTAAAAAAAGTTACGCTGACGAATGACAGACATGAGCGTTGAATTTGGAATCGACCAGGAAACGAGCGGAACGAGGTTTCATGGCAGCCATAGAACCTCGAAATCTCATCAATTCGCCAACACAACGGGTTAAATATGACTTATTACCAGCTTATTCGATTGTTCCATGCGAGTATTACCAAGATTATCATACTGAGCTTGAATATCCTCTTCATTCTGGTCGAAGAAAGCAGTCGTAGGTTCGCACTTCAGAGTTCTTTTCGGCGATCGGCATTACTATTGTGCCGGTATGGATTCGGCGTCATTGTAATTTACAGTAATCATACCGTATTCGATTCTCTTGTCCCATGAAAATTGACCACAGCCATGACAAAGATGTATTATAGTAACAGTCGTATACCAATACAATTATAGAACAATATAAAGAAGGCATATCCTCAAAATATCGCTTCAATGAGGTAGATGATACCAAAGACAAGGAAAGCACCTGCTCCGCCCAGAGTGACTGCAAAGTATGGTTAGTACTGCCATATACAACAACGTCAAGGAAAACACAGAGCATACCTGCACGAAGACTGACTCGGCCAGCAATTGCTCGACCGCCAATGACTGCGGCAGCTGTGCAAATACCATGGCCGACAACAGCACCAATAGTAACCCACCAGTAATCCTGCCCAGCAGCCATGGCGATCGTGGCGATTTGGCTGCGGTCTCCCCATTCACCGAGGAAAGTCATGACAAAAGTTTGGACCCATGCAGGACTTAGCAGAAGAGAGAAAAGGTTGCTAGCTCCTGCAGTGATGGTATTCAACGAAAAGCCGCGCTCAGGCGACACTTCTCGCGACGATGCGGAGGAGGCACTCTCGGGTGGCGAAGGGAGACGATTAGTTGAGCGTGTACGACCGCCGCGCCCTGCTTCAAGTGCATATGGAGTGACCGAGGATCGTCGGCGGTTCCTCATACGTCGCTGTTCATGCTCCTTTTCTTCCAATTCCATCTCAACTTCTTTCATCTCTTCACCCACACCTTCATCTGGTGACATATCACGTCCTTCTTTAAACATTTTGGCGGAGAAAACGAGAAACAAAACTGCCGCTGCAAATTGCGTGTAGGCTGCAGGGATAAGCGTGGGTACAGCATGCCCGAGGACAGCAGACAGAACGGTCATTGTAATCAAGGCAGAGAAAGCGGCGCTGAAGACAACTAGACGAGGATGACGCATTGCCATGAGCGCAGCGACCAGAAATGTCTTATCGCCAATTTCCGAGAACAAAATCATTGTGAATGAGAGGAACAATGAATGTATAGGACTGAAAACATTTCCTCCGCCAACAGCCCCAATGGACGAGCTGTCCGTTTTGGTAAAAGGCTTCCTGCCAGGTGATGTAGCTTTATAATCGAGACGGTCGTCAGTTGTTCGTCCTGGAGATTTCGGAAGAGGAATATCGTGAGGTTTTTCGGGGAGGTCATCAGGCTTCTACCAGAAGAGCTTTGTTAGCAAGTGCACTTCTGTTAAAAACGGCATAAAACAAACCTCAAGCAAAGTATCCCCTGACTTTTGCTCCGTAACCTCGTACGACTCCTCATAACCTGGTATTTTCTCTTGTTCGCTATGTGGCAAAGGACGAGCCTCCTTAGGTTTCTCCGGCACCTTGTCTTTTGATGGCTTGGTATCTTTCGTCTTCTCCGTCATACCACCCTCGGTACCTCTCGTTCCTTCTTTAGGACCCAATCTACTAGGGTCGTCCATGACCCCTTCATTTGAATGCGGAATCGCTTTTCCATCCAGTCCTACACGATCTCCGACTCGTTCTGTATCCGCGACTGTATACGCCTTTCCGTCCGCTTTTTCCTTCTTGCGATCTCGCTCAGCTGCAGTTTCCACCCATGGTCCGTCGTGAGGCTTGCCATCCTTGCCATCGACGGGGGCATCCAGCGTCCCCTTGGGACCGGTCTTGGAGGAGCCTTTTTGCGGCGACAGAGGATCCGAAAGTCCTGGCGGTGGTTCGACGATGTCGGCCTTGCTACCTACAACGCTGCTGTCCGAGGAGCTTTCAACCGCAGTTGTGCCAATTGCCAGTAGCAAAACGGCAGCCACCGTTGAAAGACGGCTAACGCGCATGGTAGTGACTTTTCAGGTTCGGCGAAGTGAGAGGGCGCGTATCTGACTGCCTCCTGGAAGCTAAGATCTGCTGGTTCAAAAGGGCTCGCACAGCAATTGTTGGTTAATACATGGGATGATTGTCGTGAGAAGACAGTAAAATCATGAATCAAAAGCTGCTTGTAATATCATTCCACTTCATTCAAATCCGTAATAGTGGTTCGTTTCTTGCATGCCAGAGGACTTAGTAGCAATGCCAGGATGGAAGAAAAATAAAATCGTATTTGACAATCTGAAGCTACTTGGCAAGGGGCCGCCACAATGCAGCCAAGCCACCGTCCGCAACGGCGTGGAGCACGTGACCTCCGCTGTTTCTTCCTTCATGATGATAACAGATCACCTTTAACTGCTAATACATATTTGAGTTGATGGAGTTTAACAGATAGTGACGGTGATTGAACTAATTTTTGGTATTTATTCCATCTTACTCTCACTCTCTCAACTCAGACATAATGCTGTCGACTATCTTCAGCAGTCTTTCGCCAAGACGAGCATATGAAGTATGCCTGAATTGAATAACTACTGCCCCAGGATGGAATTAATAAGTTTTATTGTTGATTTACTTTCATTAGATCGCAAAATCTAATGAGAACAGCTAATCCAGCAGCAGAATCGATATTTGAGACCGATTAACCAAAAACTTAACAGTACAATATACAGTAGACAAGAGAAGTGGTGTCCTAACTTCCATGATAACCTTCTTCTGCTCTCATCCTTAACTCCCTATCTGATACATGCTAAGATGCCCCTATCTATTAATTAGATCGGGCCCTTGGCTACAGTAATGAAGAGAGGAGTTCTGACGTGATCCCTCCCTTTCCAGTTTCCTAGTCAATGCCAAAACGTCTTCGCCCTTCCGTTGCTTCTTCTCTCCGACTTCATGATCTCTAGCTGCCTGCAGTAAACATTCTGCCTCTGAATTGGCTCGGTCGGTTTCGAAGGCGAATTCATCAGCTTCTCACTGGGCATGGCTGTTGGCTTGCTTCAAACGAAAAATTTGATGACGTTGCTGGGCAAGGGCTTCTATATCGCCCGGATGGCGCGGATTGATGACCTGCTGGGAGTTTGTCGCTGATGAGCTCAGCTGTTGCTCAATGAACTGAGGAATTCCTTCAACAGTCGTTTCAACCAGCTGCTGTAGCGATTCAAGTGAAGCTTGTCCCTGCTCTCTTCTTGTGTACTGTCGCAGTTCGGATTCACGCTCTCTATCTTCACTTTGACACAAGTTGCCGAACAGCTTGCATTTTGGCTTTCTCAAGCTCTATCCGCAGGTTTTCCTGGATCTGGCGACTCTGCTGAAGTTGTTCATGAGTTCTCACTCTCGATTATGGCTATTTCGGAGCTTCTGGCGCAATTCTTCGGTCTGATTAGTAAGATCTTCCCTGTTCCCCTTTGCACATTGTATAAGTTCGAACTCCTTTTCTTGGAGAGCGCTTATCTCATCGTGTTAGCCTTCTATTTCATCCTCACATTCCTTAATCCGGTTGGCAAGCTCCTTGGTCTTCCGGTCTGCCTGTTCGTTCTTGCACTCGAGTTCGTAGACATCTGCTCTAGCAATAGTTGTTGTGGGTAATGGGTGATCTTCCTAGGTCTGTATGTACCAGTTCAATTTCACTGTCATTTCTGCTGTTGCCATCCTCGGTCGATTCTTTATACGTCTGTTTCTCCGCCGAGCTCGTTGGCCGACGTTGATCTCCTAGGGAAAGTTCCTTGTTTGACCGTCTTATCGTTCGACTTCCCTGACCCGCTCCTGAAGACCTTCATTGATCACTTTCTGTTCATGTTCGTTGAAAGCACTAGGAGCACTGGAAGAACTCCTGTGGACGCTTTCTTTTCCAAGAAATCGCGAATTTTGCGTACACTTGTGGGACTGCTAGTATCATCCATTGTTAGTATTATTATTATTATTATTATTATTATTATTGAACACAAAAACCTATGGGCTTGGGTTTCGAAAGGAAGTAAATCTCTCCAAATGCAAGTCTTGAGCACTAAGGTTACAATGAAAGAGAAATTCTCAACTACACTCGATTCAAGTCTTTGAAACAGGAGAACAGCTAGAGGCTCTACATCTAGACACACTACGGAGCCTTGTCTACTCTCTCACCTACAGTACCCCACCTCTACTCATCGTCGATGATGTGTCTGTCTCCATTGGACCTAATCGAGCTTTCTTGCAGACATTATTACATATAGCAAAGCGTCCCACATGTCGGATGAACCAGGGCGCAAACCAAGAATGCATACGGGAACCGCACCGTCAAAGCTCTGAGTAAAGTAGCTGACATGTTGTCAACATGCCAACACCTCAAATGAAAGTAATACTGGTATACAGGAGGATCGACTGAAAAGATGGATATCATTATGATACTCCTGGTACTCCGGTGTCATACATTTTGTATGAGAACTTGGAGTATCATGAAGGCAATCATTCTGTCTAACTGCAACGAAAGCCCGGTTAAGTTAGTTATTCCCTCGGACCGTATGTCTCCAACAGCTAACAGGCAATTATCGATTTCGGAATGACTGGGTCATCGTTAGTATCTGATAACCGCCTGAGACAATGATCACTTACATGTGATACTGGTACAGGGATGTCTTCCAATGCAGCCTCCGAGTCATTCTGTGACAACTGTTTCCGAAGTGATAGGTAAGTCTGAAACTGATATAAGATCTGCCTAGATAGAATGCTGGAACCAACGTACATAGCAAAAGGGTGAGTTTTATTGGGTCTCCAGGTCAACTACACTCCTCATAACGACATTGGAGGCCTATTTGAGATCAGAAGTAATAAGTACATGTTCATTTGCCACTCTACACCTGACGTGTTAGTTACAGGACAACTCATAGTTACGTTTCCCCTCATTTTGAGACCTAGGGCGTCTACCAGGCCGGGAGGTATATGAAGACAATCATCGTTCTATAACTTCTCTTGAAACTTTTTTTCGCCCGTTCTCTCACTTCTGGCTTGTTTCCCAACCACACTTCCAATATGATGCAAAAGAGAGGAATATCAAAAAGGGGAAGCAACTCGGAACATCTAATAGTTCGATGTTCATGGAGACATCTCCTAAGATCGACTATCATCGATTACTGTCATCATAAGTACTTCACTCACTGGCATAGGAGATTAGTTCTAATCCTTCTGCTAGACGACGAAACGCCGCTCACTACTCTGGAGATTGGGAAAAAAATGTTACGGTGTTCCAACAAATTTTACCCAGGAATACCCCCTATTCCATCCGCAATACATCTTCTCCGTATGTATCACATTACATGATATCGATGAGGATGTCGGCCATTCATTGGTCCATTTTTTATACACAGGGAAATACGAGACAATAAACTCAGCCACAATGAAGACACATCTGACCTCGCGAGGGAGTTTAGGAGAATCGTCCTCATTTACCTAACCTTTAGGAAGTATGGCCTGACTGCTCTTGAAGATTTATCCAAGAAGTACATTCAACGTTTGGGGAAGAGATACCATGTCTGATGTACTTCGGAATCCAAGGATGCGTTTTCAAAACTCCTTGAAGATGAAACCTGGGTTTCCATTATAAATCAAGCTAAACTATAAGAAATGATAGGTCTATACGAAGGTAGATATAATATGGACGAAGTTTACGAAGCTGTTGGCCAGGATGATCATTTTGGAGTCAGTGTCTTGAAGATGGTGGTTCAGATTCTTTCTGATCGTTTGCCTTTCTTGGAACGGGCAAGTAAAAAGGGTAATTCCATCTTATTGAACCTGGGTACGCAAATTTGGAATTCATAGACTAACGGTATAAATAGGAGAGATCCGTATGGTACAGCGTCCACTGTTGGAGCCATCTGGGAAGCAGACTACCCTGCTGAACCGGTCTGTGAAGATGGTCTTTCTGGGGAGATACTTTTGTATGAAGAAGATGCCTCTTGTGTGGACAAATCTGCTGCGAGGAAGAGGCACCTGTTGAAGAAGTTAACCGGGAAGAAGAGCCACTAATTGGCAAAGCTGACGGTGAAGATGACCCTTTTCAAGACGAAGAAGTCCATCCTATTATATAGCCTGCATGGGAAGATCCTCGCCATGAGGAGAACTCTGTCGATGAAGAATAGGATCCTGTTGTGAAAGACCCTGCGGAAGAACCTACCTTGGAAGAAGAGGTTCTTGCTGAACCTGTCTCTGACAACGCTCTTCTTGAGGAGGGACTTGTGTATGAAGAAGAGGTCTCTGCTGCGGAGGCTCCTTCGGAAGAAGTTGTCCTTGAAGAAGAGGTACCCGCTGAAGCACCTAAATATGAAGACACCGAGAAGTCTGACGAAATTGTCCAGCTCCGTCTAGTCAACGCTTCAGTTGCAGACTTATGGTTATATACAGGCTAGGGTAGTCTAACTCCCATGAAAAGGTCCAAGAGGAAAATAACGCTCGCAAAAAAGGGCCTTCCAATTCCGAAGAATGATGGATATATCTCAATTATTGTAGGACAAGCAGCAGCTTGAAATATATGGTGTTTATGGAGCGTTTCACTTTTCGGTCTTGTATTCAAGGTTACGATAGTATCTGGAAGTAATTGAAATATTATGCGTTCATACTTATCAGAGCACCCGGTACTCAGCAAAAGGAACCAAGGAGTCAAAATATAGACATCACAAATTGTAAAAAGCATATGTTAAAGTTACAATTTCCGAGTCTGATATCATGTCCTTAGCTCGAGCCTTACGATTGCCTAAGCTTTGTGGAGCCAACTTGAGTAGGTCTGGTTATGGGCAATGCTGACACAGTATAAATGACAAGTCTGTGTGTCAAGTGATAGCATATTTAGGGCTATATAATCGCCCATGTGGAGAGCCCTAACTTCCAGAATAAAGACGACGAGTAAACTTCTCTAATATGAACACAAATAACTTTACCTAAATAATATAAATGAATATATTGACGGCACTAAGTGGGTATCTCGACGATGAAGGTTAAAGAGACAATTTCCCGGGAGTGACTCCTCAGATTCCACTGGATTCTTCCATGCCATCACGGCCCGAAAGGTTTGCCCCTATCTGCGTGTCAAGAATCTCATCATTGGTTGCGTTAAGTTGATTCGCATCATTCGCTGCTGATTTCAGCTTCTGCAGTACATTGAGGAACTGGGCAATCTCTCCCTTGATTTCAGACAGTTCATCTGACCTTCGTTCTTGCTCTTTCAAGAAGTCGTGAACCTGATCCATCTGCGATTTAATCTGAGTTGACAATGCACCATGTCTCCAACAGGTTTCCTTCTCGTTCGTTTCCATGCCATCAATGATCTTAGTTTGACCTCCAGCATGGTCTCTTTGGATGTTGAATTGTAGCGGTTCAAGTCTTGCCTGCTAACTTGTTAATGATTACTTCTGCACGACATAAGAGTACCTTACAAGTAACATACAATGATACGATATTTCCAACCCAACTGATACTGCACATGCAACTTCGGATCTGTTGTGACATGTATTTCATTCTTCGATGCTGGAAGAGTGAAAAGCGCATCAGTTCTCTCCGGAACCAACCAAGTTGATTCCAGCCAATAATCTCCTGCTGAGAGGCGTCGCATAACTCTCTGTAGTGGAGTACTGCATTCTTTGCACTGTCTGGCAAATTGAACTGTTGCGACTCCGGTACATCAAAAATTAATCTTGCACGTGTCTGAGGAGAGCAAATTTCTGCCCGTAGATCGTTGAGATAACATAGAAGACTTCGAATTGGAATGATGATAGTGATAACAAGAAAGGAGCTTGCCACAAGCCTTAAATTTTCCAGGGTGGTAATTTCTTGAGATAATTCTTCTGATCAGCTCAAAATATCAGTCATTTCACTCTTCAATCCGCAGAATACTCTACAGATATTTCAAACTCCACTCTAAAGCTAAAGGCACAATGTCTCATGAAGCTTCATCTGTATCAATAATGGATTGATTCCCTGGCGGAACGAGCCTGAAAAGAAAAGAAAAGAAAAGAAAAGCGTGTAACCCTTGTGCCCAAGGTTGGTCTTGGGGGAAATTTTGATGCATATATTCATTACTTATATCCATACGCTGATCCACTTCAATATATAACTTGGACAGCGAGTCTGATGGACACTTTGTCGCTTGCCATCCTCGAGATCAGGATTTCAGTGATCTAACAGCGCATTTGGATGCACTGTTGTCCGAGTCTGGGGCGACGTGTGTGGCACTTGTAGGATCAGCAGGTGTTGGGTAAATCTCCCCTTCCCCTTCCCCTTTCCCCTTTCCCCTTTCCCCTTTCCCCTTTTCTTCTTCTTCTTCTTCTTCTTCTTCTTCCATTTTTATGCTTTACATAGTTTGTGTTCACTGACTTTCTCCTATTCCATGAAAATCGTCTCTAGCAGCTGAATACTGCTACCGCATCAAAGACCAAGCACCCGGACACAGGGTTCTTCTGGGTCGACGTAAGTAGTCGAACTCGAATTGAGCAATGCTTTTGAGAATTTGTATTTCGAACCGATCCGGCCTATCTACTTGAAATGCAAGGCGGCAAAGACCTAGTGAAGCGCACACTTTCACGTATAATGTTGGGCCTTAAGTATCAATGGGTTTTTGTTTCGATGGTGTCAACGATTTTGATAACACTCAATTTTTGAATAGAGAAGTACAGATATCGGCCATTCCCTGGACGGATTTTTGTGACAAGTCGGGAAGAAGAAGTCGCTTTGATGCTTGTGAAAAAGAAGGATTTGATTACGCTGGATCCGCTGCATGAAGTTCATGCAATGGCTTTCGTGGAGAGGAAGCTGGACATGACGACTGACGATCCTGAGGATGAGAAAAAAACTCGACATTGCTCTTGAGTGTATGCCAAATGCTATCGTACAGGCGGCGGCATACATCAATCGAGTAAAGCCTCGCTCCTCAGTACGGCAATGTCTGGACCAACTGGAAGAGGCCAAAGAACATTGAGTTAAAGAGTTTATAGATCGACTGAATGCCGTTTCCCCAGACGCTGAGACAAAGATCACCCTCACGATCCAGTGTTACAATTGTTACATGGAAGTTTCCTCCCGCATCTGTCGGCTGTCCTCGCGTGTAGGCCTGCTGATGAAATTCATTTACGCTAGGTGGAGCGATCTAATATCTATAGCAGGGCATTACGCTCTGATCACAGTCCGTCTGGATGATGCAAAGGCATTACTAGAGGCGGTGTTAGACGCACAACAGTGTCTATACGGACCGGTGCATGACAAACATTCACTACCACAGGCGATGTTGCACGTCCGTACGTCAAACTAGAGGAAGGATCGAAGTTGAGACCGTGGTTGACGAAAATGCGAGACGATTGCTTACAGACCCTTGGACCTTAGCATCCCCAGACCCGTGCTCGCCATGTTCTGGGTAGCGTGACTTGCTCTGGGTGAAGGACGATATGCAGAGGCAGAATCACTGCTGAAAAGATTAACTGAGATCAGCGAAAATGATTTAGATGCAGGTCATCCGGATACACTGAAAATCAAGGACATGTTGGCGGATACATGGGAAGGACAGGAGAGATCTCGAAGAGGCAGAGACGATACGTACAGATGTGATTGAAAAACCCAAAGAAATGCTGGGTAGAGAGCATCGAGACGTACTCCAGAGATTGCATTATTTGGGAGCGTTCCTATTCAGGCGAGAGCGATGGCTGGATGCAGCAACAAGTACAAGAACATGTGATGCACACGAGCAAGGAGAGTAATTAGGGACACACAATCAGTTGACTATAAACTCGATGTCCTATCTTGCTCTTACCTCGAAGCGTCAAGGCATGGAGAGGAGCGCCGTTGTTATGATGTTTATAGTTATATGGATTCGGGCACATACCCTGGGTTATGATCACAGAGACACCAAAGCCGCTGTTTGTCAAATGCGATAGTGAAGGCCCGCATTCAGCTTGAATATGATACCCGGTAGGGCGCCCAATTTATCGGAGACTGATTCTAGCCGAGTCAATTTTGACCAACGCCTCACATAATGGGTTGATATGCACGCACTGCTCGAATAAGAAAAAGATGGCCTTAAGGAGAGTGTTAGCGGAAGCTAAGAATGCATATTGGCGTCATAATCCGATCAAGTGATCTACAGAGATACAAGCGATATGGTCGATTTATCAGTGTAGTTTCCTTTCATTGTATGTCGTCGGCAACAGTCTAGGTTACAGGAAGTACCGATATGACTGTTCCGGTAGGTAGTACTACTCCCTATGTATGCCGATAACTCATATACCGACAATTCTAAACACTCCTGGGGAAGCAGTAGAAGATACAATCGATTGGATGACTCATCAAAGTCATGCAGCACAGGAACGGCGGGATGGGATGAATCAGTGAGGTGACAAGTCGTGTGATGCCTCGAGAGTATATAATCTACCGTTTCTTGATACTTGTATGGATGATGATCTTGGAAGAATTCGCGGGGCTGTTGAGCCTAATTGCCTTGGCGTATTAGTACCGTAATATACCTCATCGATCACATAGACTGCACGTATTGACTGGTAATTACACCGATACGGCTTGTTCACATGCTCCTGCCACCGATAACGCTGATAAGTCATAGCTTTATCATCTTTTCTTTCAGCTATATGAACCTTTCCATCTCGGTTTCTTGCTTTCTTCTTTTTATATTTTGATTCTGTTGGTGCGCTATTCTTATAGACGATTCAATATGCATGGTGGCTCTGTGTAGAATGTTTGTTTCGTGAGGCATTTGTGGCTGATTCTTTGAATCTCTTTGGCACGTCCTTGCCTCGACCCGATTACTTTTGCATTTTCTTTCAACCTTCAGTACAATTATTCATAATAGAATGACTTCTCAGTGGGGAAATCGGTCCAAGTGGACACTTGGTGTTCTGAGTCATCCAGAAACAGACGAAGTTCCCGGTAGGATTATCCCACCTCGCTAATAGATGCACTAATCTTATACAGTGAAGGCACCATCCTACTCCTCGCTTCCGACCGAAATGAGCCTCTCGGTTTGCGAAACCAACCAGCCCGGACATCAGCTTCATCACTTCCTTCTCCATACCCGCCCAGCAGATCATCTTCCCGTTCAATCGCTCCTGTGGCTAAGAGGACGCCGGATGGGCGCATTGTTCTACATCCCCAGCCGGAGGACTCGGCAAATGATCCGCTAAATTGGCCCAGCTGGCGTCGAGATGCCGCTCTACTATCATTGGGCTTTTACTGTCTCATGGGAGGTGGAATGACTCCGGTTTTGGCTGCCGGCTTCAATGACGTGGCGAAAGACTACACAGTGAGCATCCAGCAGGTGGCCTACACGACTGGCCTTTACATGTTGGGATTAGGGTTCGGGTCTGTTATCATGGCGCCGACTGCAATTCTGTGGGGAAAGCGACCTGTGTACCTGCTGGGAGCTACTTTGTTTATTCTTTCGGCGGTATGGTGTGCGCTTTCTCCCAACTACCCTAGTTTAGTGGTAGCTCGGATTTTTATGGGAATTGCTGTCAGCCCAGTGGAATGTTTGCCCTCGGCAACAATTGCAGAGATTTTTTTCCTGCACGAGAGAGCTTATCGCATCGGTATATATACACTGTTACTCCTTGGAGGCAAGAATCTCGTGCCACTGGCTAGTGCCGCTATCATCGGGGCGCTAGGATGGCGTTGGGTATTTTGGTAAGACTAATCACAATTCCTGGCGTTTTAACCGTTCACTCACCAAAGCCTAGGGTTGTTGCCATCGTAGTTGGAGGCAGTCTCGTGTTCCTTTTCTTCTTTGTTCCGGAAACATTCTGGGATCGCACTCCTCGTCGAAAGCCAAAGTCAAAGCGACCTGGATTCTACCGGAGTGTTTCTGAGCTCGCGCACGCCGGCTTTCGCGGCAGACATCCGGAGCGACGAACTGACGAGAAACTATCCGGCTGGCAGAGTCCGGGCAGTGTGCAAAGTCCGACCACCGAACGGACGCGGAGAGATGTGCATGTCGGCTTTGCTGAAGACCCGTCAGATGAGAAAGTAGAAAAAGCCGTTGAGATTTCACCGGATGCAGGAATTGGTCCTGACGATGGAAACTCACCTTCAGACGCTATGCGCCTTCCATCGGCAGATTCTACTCGACCGCCTATCGGTAGCACATCTCCAAATGCGTCAACTACTTACGGGTCATCAGGCCATGCTCCTGGGTCCGTCGGGGCAGGTCAATCATCTCCAGCTGCTCCAGATGTAGAGGCTGCCCAGGCAATCAGTCTGTCTCCCATGAGAGGTGAATCCGAGGAACATGTAGCAATGAATGCATCCGCCCTGTACACTCATAACCTACGCGAACAACCGAAGGTATCTTTTCGACAGACACTCCGAGTATGGAATGGACGACTCAGTCATGACAAATGGTATCGAGCAGCGATTCGCCCATTCATTCTCTTTGCCTACCCAGCTGTTCTGTGGTCGGCTCTCGTTTATTCCTTGTCTATTGGTTGGCTGATTGTTTTATCTGAGTCGGTTGCCACGATATACGAGAATAAAGAAACATATAATTTCTCTGCTTTGGGCACGGGCCTGATTTATATTTCTCCGTTTGTAGGCGGAGTTCTCGGTACGGCAGTCGCAGGACGAGTGTCTGACATTATTGTCAGGTTCATGACTCGACGCAATGGAGGTATTTACGAGCCGGAGTTCCGTCTGGTAATGGCGATTCCAGTGGCACTTTCGACTGCCGCCGGTCTTATGGGGTTCGGTTGGAGTGTGCAAGAAAGGGATGCCTGGATTGTACCAACTATCTTTTTTGGAATTATTTCCTTTGGCTGCTCTCTTGGAAGCACTACGTCTATTACCTTTTGCGTGGATAGTTACCGACAATACGCGGGCGAGGCTTTGGTGACCTTGAACTTTAGCAAGAGTATGTTTTTTTTTTTTTTCTAACCCAACTTCCTGTCATCTGCCGTAACTAATGTTGATGCCGGTAGATGTCTTTCACGGACTGATATTCTCCCTTTTCATCGTGGATTGGCTGAAGAGCGATGGCGCGCGTACGGTATTTTTGGCCATTGGAGGGATACAAATTGCATGTCTGTTGACTTCTATTCCGATGTACATATTTGGGAAGCGGGCACGTATGTGGACTGTGAAGAGGAAGTTGATGGAGAAGTTCTAGATGGCGACTAAAACATAGATTCGGTCTCGGTCTTTTGTTTTCTTGGTTGTTGGGTTGATATTAGAGTCGGAGGTAGCAATTGTTTGTTTGATAGGCGAGTTGATGGTCGCATAAATGACCGTTACATGTGTTTCTTCTTGGATACCGTAGAGCAATGAAGAATAACATCTTCAATAAGTTAGATATCAAAAGAAAGAAACAGGTAATACCTCCCAACCAATCAGATTTCCCGAACCACATCATTACCAATCACAGCGTGTCAATCAAGCCAAAAGCGGGCCGAATCCGTCAAATTTAGTGGAGGCGCTCTAAACACCAATCAAATGTACCATCCACCAGCCCCGTCTCGAGCCATGACATCATCCGCATACTGGGAGTACTTCAAATCGAAGCAAAAGCAAAAGAAGATCGGATCCGACGGCGGAAATGAGGTTATTCCTACCCTAGACGATAGAGTGGATGTACTATGGTATAAATATTTATCTATGGGGCCTTCCCGGATTCTTTCTCTTCCTATTGTCCTTGAGACTGTCTGCTTTGCGCAACTTTTTTGTCGACGAACCTTTTTATCGGCGAATTGGGAATGTGTACATACTTTTTTTTTTATTATTTGAATGTCAACATTTTTTTATCCATTGTTTTATTTTTCCCATACTAACTGCTGGCTGGGCGAGGTGCTAGATTCAATGTTGGTTGGGTGGTATGGATAAACAGCGGTGGCCGATATGGTTTGACGATGTGAGTGTCTTGTATTCTGGACAAAGCTTTGAGTAGGGTAAGTGCTCTTTACTTTATCTCTGTGAAGGCTTTCTATTGCTGTGTTCCACATCTGGTGATTGAGGCATCAGTCAGTCTCGGTCTACCTCGCACCTTGGAAGCGCCAACGACATCCACCAAACAACCTGTCGCGGGAAGGAAGAAAGTCCCCGGCCATGGGCGCATGAACTTCACAACCGGTCGCATACACACACGCATACACACACACATACCCTAGGCTCAGACTCAAGCTCCAACCACAGCCAGACGCACCTACGTAGGTGGACGCTCTCACGGCCTAGACCCGTCCATAACAACCAAATGGGGAAGTCCGAAACAAGCCATGGCGGCCAGCAAATGCAGTTTCTGTTCTTACAGCCACGGATCTAAGCGCTTGGCTACGTAATATGGCATGTTTTAGTAACGTGGGAGGGGGTGGACAGTGCGGCAGGGGAAGACTTGGGACGTCTCATATAAGATCCAACATCTCGACATCCACCGGGAATATTTTTATTTTCTGCAGAAAGATGTTTGGCAACACTCGCGGTTGAGTTTTCTGCCGTGTAGGAATGGTCAGTCCATTTGCATTTTTGCATTTTTTCGATTGCGTTGATTGAATTTTTGATTTCGTTTATCCTAATTTTCTCGAAATGCATGGTTGATTGATACTGATTGATCTAGCTTGTGGAGTCGATCATTTGATGCCTGGCGATATGGCTATTTATCAGGCATCAACAGGAAAACGACGGGCAACAGCGACTCCACGTGAGTCGAGCAGCGACGACATAACTGACGGCTTCTATTCCGCCAATTGAATCCGTGCCCAGGAACACCCTGAGTCAGCATGGCATTCAGCGATTTCATATCAACTTTTTTTCAACATCATCCAGCGTCATATGGTGTGCAACAGATGGGTGATCAACATGCGTATGTGAGTCTGGAAATGCGACACAGATAAGCTTAGAAAAATGCAGCGCCAACGAGGAGGGAATGTCTTTTGATGCCTGGGGCTAGCATGTGGAGTGCTTCCAGGATACATTCCCATTGGGCTATGCCTGATTCATGTCTGCCGTGGTCTGGAGGTCTCCGCCAGTCATGGCACGCGGGATACTGCAAGCTGCGGCACCTGATTGGTTCTCAACCATATTCGCCCCATCAGTCCCGATCATCCCCACCTTGATCCGACAATGCATTGTGATTGGCTGCAGTGCGGGCAAGCTCATTCGCTCTTCCAACTTTTTGGTCGTTCTTGCCTTCTTCCTCTTCTGACTGGAGGGGGAGCAAGAACTTCATCCAGTTTCTTATTATCGGATTCCTCAACAGATTCAGAGGGAATATCGCCTTTGCCACTACTTGACGTTCTGTTTACAGTCCAGTCGTTCATCTGCGAGCTCATGTTACAGGCCAACGATCATTTTGATTCGCTCATATCGCGGTCGTTTCTCATGTACGTCCCCCCCCTAATCCACTACGCCTTCCACATCCTACCACAGAGAATGGATTAATTCTCCGCATCGCGCGAGCCAAGATCCCCATCACTAACCATCACTAGTTGAACTATTATGATGCGATGCCAAATTCTCTCCGTCGCCCTAGCTTCGTTTTAGTTTTACCCGTTCCAGCTCGTCCTCTCGTCCTTTTGGTGCCTGCGACCGACACTTTTCTCAGAACCGGTTCTCAGTCTTTTCCGTCAGCCAACTAGCGCTCGGCTGATCACATCAGAGGGTCCATCTACCTCCCAGCATTTTTCTTTCCTACCGTTTTACTCTTTGAACAGCAAGGCAGGCCCTTTGCACCACTGAGTTTACTGATTTAGTTATTGCTACGTACCTACGAGTCGGTCAAGTCGGTTAAGTCGGTTTTTCTCGGGCTTGAACGTTCCAAGTTCTAACACATCGACATATCGTCCACCCGAGTACGTGTGCATTAGTACTCAACTTTTCATACGAATTACATACGCGGTCGCTACACTAACTTCGACGAGTTTACCTATCCTTTTGCTATCTGAATCTGAGATCGTTCGAACCGCTTCCATCCTCATCCGCGAAAATATCGGGCACCTTTTCCACATCTGCCAGTCTTCCCCACCACGGTGAAAGAGCAGAATCGTGGGACAAAAAAAGTGGAAATCGAGAATTCGTGCCGCTAATCTCTTCGCTCTTCGCCGATCTGGTTCTGGTCGAATCCCGTCCCGCCTACGTACCATTTTCTTTCGTTCCATTTCTGGTACTGTGTGAGCGTGAGTGGGTACGTTCAGAGTTCCAGATCTCTTGATCAGATTTTCTTCCGCCACAACCACTCGACTCCGGTCTGATAATCTTGAGATATTCGATCCATCCGATCTTGACACAACCATTATCGATTCACGACCGTTGTCGGTTTCCGATCCAACCTCTAATTCTCAGACTGGAACGAAGAGAGAGGCGGGGGTTTATATCGCAATCGCCCTCCCACCGCAGGTGAAAGAATGGTTCGTGCGTCGTTGTTCGGTCCTGAACTGGCTTCACAAGCGTCATAACATAGTTAAACCATGGCACCAACGCACGAAGCACTCGTCGCTCATCGCGACGACCGTCGTTTTCGCGAGCTCTACCGCTATTTCCAGCCTGCGAACCCTGCCGCTTTACTCTATCAACTCCAAAATGATTTGTCTAATTCACGAGAACCTTCGGCGGATTCGGATGACGTGCCCACAGTCGAACGGAATGTCGGGAACCCGTTGGCGGTGTCCTTGATGCCCCCCCAAGAGGATCTTCGGAGCCCTAATACGATATTGACCTCTTTTGCTCAGTTGGCTGCCCACAAGTTGAATGTAGAAAGAGCTATAATATGGTTTGTCCGTCCTCTTGTCTTTGATGACGTATCGTTCTAACAATGTCTAGTGTATTGGGCCGTGATTCGGAATATATCCTCGCCGAAGCTCCCCGGGTCGAACAAACAAGTGCCCAAAGTCTGTGGATCGGATACGGTAGTGATGGACGTTTCGGACCTACTTTGAATCTTGTAAGTATCTTCCTATATTTTGAGATATCTATTTCTAACGTTCCATAGAATACTGTTGCGCTGCCGGCATCTACAAAAACAGATTACCAGTTCCAGATCGTCAACGACTTGTCGGCTGATGAACGATACGCGGATTTACCATTTGTGGCTAATGAGCCTCATTTTCGGTTTTACGCTGGCACTCCTCTGACGACTGAAAACAACATCAACATTGGAGTCTTATTCGTTCTTGATCCCGAACCTCGGCCAAATGGGTTAAGTGACCACGAAAAGGAGTCACTGGGTTCCTTATCAAGCATGTCGATGGATTTTCTACGCGTGAGTCGGCAAGCTGCAGAAGGACGGCGTGCTGCTCGTTTATCGCGTGGTTTGAGCTGCTTTGTCGAAGGCAGTTCTAGTTTTGTAGACGGTCTTGGTTCACTTCCGTCCGGCTCTCATTCCGGCTCGCATAGCGGTTCTCAGCATGGTTCCGCCATATCACCCATATCTGCCCGGTCCTCAGCATCGCCTCCAGCAGTCGGAAGTCCAACTACCCGGTCTCGGCGCTCCAGAGGTTCGCGAGGAAGCAGCGTAGATGTACGCCCAAGCCGGTCACCAGGCCCGTCCTCTTCGGAAGGCAAAGCCGAGACTGGCACTTCCTCTGATGTGACGACACCCCTTCCCGATTGGCTGATTGCTGGGACAAAGAGTTCCAAAGCTCGTTTGGCCGACGAAATGCACAACAACCACTGGACATTTCGCCGTGCGGCAAATCTAATCCGCGAAAGTCTGGAACTGACCGGTGACGGCGGCGTTATCTTTCTCGAAAATAGCACTATGCCTTTGGATGTTGATAACGGCCGGGTGGAGTATTTTGAAGATGCAGACTCTCCGGTTTCTGTCCTGGGGGTATCGACGAACGAAGAGCCATTTGCACCCGAACCTGGATCCAATGCGACATGTGCTGCGGCAAATTGCGACCGACGATTTTTGCAAAACGTTCTGCGCCGCTATCCCAAGGGTAAAGTCTGGACTTTTCACCAAGATAGGACATTGTTTGCCTCTTCAGATGACGATGAGAAGAGCCCAAATTCACCAGTTTCGGCGGTCAGGACCCCAGACGCACCTCCGGGTACCAGTAAGAAATGGCGAGCTTCTGAAGCTACACAATTAGCCAAGTATTTCCCCAATGCAAGCCAGGTGCTCTTTGTACCGCTATGGAACGCTGCGACATCTCAGTGGTATGCTGGATGCTTCTGTTGGAGTTGTACCGAGACCCAGGTTTTTAGTCCGACTGTGGAATTAGCATCAATCATGGGATTCGGGTACTCGATCATGGCCGAGTTGAGTCGTTTGGAATCGATTATAGCCGATCGACAAAAGGGTGATTTTATCGGCAGTATTTCTCATGAATTGCGGAGTCCACTGCATGGAATCCTTGCGGCGGCAGAATTCATGGACGGTACATATATGAACGAATTCCAGAAATCACTGCTGGAAACTATCAATGCTTGTGGGCGGACGTTGCTTGATACGATGAACCAAGTGCTTGATTTCAGCAAGATAGTATCGCTCGAGAAGAGTTGGCGACAGGTGAAGAAGGCTAGGCGAGACCCGAAAGATGACGTGGTGGATAATGTCAAGGGCATCGACAGCATGGCAGCACTACTCGATACGCATACCTGCGAGGATATCTGCTTGCTAACAGAAGAAGTAGTGGAGGGAGTCTGCCTTGGTCATTCGTATGGTCGATCAGCTAGTGGATCTACAGGTGTATCCCGTGCTCCTTCAATGCCGTCAGGAACGGGTTCTAGTTCACTATCAACACCGGATAGCGAGACAGCGGGTGAAATCCGCCCAGAAGTTGAAGTGATTGTTGATATGAAGGAAGGAAACTGGGTGTACAAAACACAGCCTGGTGCACTGCGTCGAATTATCATGAATATTTTCGGCAACGCGATGAAATACACCGATACGGGACATATTATTGTTCGTTTGGAATCTGTCAAGAGTGAAGAATCGTCAGCAAAATCGAAAGTTCGGAATGATTCTGATGAGCTTGTCGTACTCACTGTTTCGGATACGGGCAAAGGCATATCTGAAGAGTTTCTTCGAGCGCGTCTATATACACCTTTTGCTCAGGAGGATACTTTGGCGGTCGGCACGGGCTTGGGATTGTCTATTGTGCGCAGTATTGTTAAGTCTTTGGGTGGTCATATCGGGATTCGCAGTCGACCTGGGGAGGGGACAAGTGTTAAAGTTACATTACCTCTTCCGCGGCCAGGGCCTGAGGACGGAACTTCGCCCGTGGCGCGGCCGCATCAGTCCGTGCCAGGTCAAGAACTGCATATTATCCGTGAACGGTTCTCGGGTAAGAAGGTTGCGATAATCGGCTACGATCCGGAGTCTACTGCTCCTAGTACAATGTCTTCACTTGCGAAATATGTCACGAACTGGTGTGGACTTACTGTTGTACCGTGGTTTGCTTGTGCAGACTCGGCAGATTTGGTACTTGCTACGGACCGGGGTGTCAACGAAGAGCTGAAAGTCCAGCAAACCGTGAAGGCTCGCGCGATGGTTGTCATTTGTAGTACTACCGTCGACTACGATACTTATCGCTCGGCCTGGTCAAAGTTGACGAGTGTGGTAGAGTTTCTTTATCGACCTTGTGGTCCATACAAGTTGGCGCGAAGTCTACTTCGATGTTTTAAGCAGGCTGCTGCTCTTCCGCCTGCTGAGTATGCGAATACGTTGCATCCTGGGTTGGTTGACCGCACCCGTGTGCCGATTCCGGATACAGATCATACACGCAGTACTGGGGATCTAAATAACAATCCGGGACCTTCGTTGGTAGATCTACGGGCTCACAGTGAACCGCGTCTCGAACCTGCACAACCGGTCATGCTGTCACCAACGATTGAACTTCCCGAAATCATGGATGAAGGAATTCACAATCGTCGCTCGGCACCTGCTGTCCCCACTCTTGAACGTGTTCAGGGCGAACTTATGCCAACACTTCCTGAGGATCGGGCATTAACCCTCTCACCCGCAACACCGGTTAATGTCTTGGTTGTCGACGATAACCATATCAATCTTCGTCTACTATTAACTTATCTCAGTCGACGAAATATAGCCAACCTAGACTCGGCCGAGAATGGAAAAATGGCGGTGGACGCAGTGGAGAAGCGATCGGAGGGATACGATATAATTTTTATGGGTGAGTTATTCCATTTCTCTGTCACAGAACAATTTGACTAATTTCGTTAGACATTTCCATGCCGGTCATGAACGGCTTCGAAGCGACTCGAGCAATCCGTTCTCTGGAGAACGAACGCGATGAAAAGCGGCCCGCCACAATTATTGCTCTGACTGGTCTCAGCAGTGCGCGCGACGAGACAGAAGCAATGACCTCTGGCGTTGATCTCTTCCTTACCAAACCGGTATCACTGAAAGAAGTTTCGCGGTTGTTGGATGAGTGGCAGCCCAAACAAATCGACAATTGATTTCTTCTTCCTTCTTCTTTTCTGCACTGATGACTCGACCCGTCATATCCCGGTCATGAGTTTACGATGTTTTCCTACTTGCTGCTTGTTTTTATGTTCACTGTTATAACACAAAATATTTCCTCATTACCTATATGCATGTTTTTTTCTTTATTTGGGATATATTGGAAGCATACGGAACTGATATGATACCCCTTTGCAAGTTGTTTTTTCTCTCTATCATCTGACCCCCGGAGAACGATTGGGTCATGGCGTTTTCTTTTTATTTCTCTCTCGGGACTGGGATCTGGATCTCGCATATTTTCGACTTTTCTTTTTGTTAGTGTTGTTTCTGAGGAAACTAACGTGACTACGTGTATTCTGAATGAGAGTATACCTTTTATGGTTGTGTGGTCGAGGGTGCAGATGTATTAATAATACGACTTATACGATTTATACGACTGAAGCAGATAAAGTAGGTTTAACGTTAACTAGATGAATGTGATTAGTAATCCGCATCAAATAGTCAGTCTAGCGGCCAGGCCTACTGATCATGCACTCTGGAGTCTGTATGATTATGCTTGCTTAGGGCTGAACAATTCCCTTTCTTCTCGTTATTTGTTTCGTTGCGATTTGTTTCAACTACATAATCGCTGATGCCTAAGGTAGAAAGATCTCTCAGCCTCAATGGGTCCAACGTGCTTCAGCCTCTGACCCCACACTGGATTTCCCGAGATTAATGTACGTATATGGCCCACTGAGTATTCTGTTCGCTCCGGTTCTTCGTCTATTTTATTATCGATTTATCGATTTATCTATTACTACTACGACTGTCTAGGATTGTTGATTGAATGGATAGTTACACTGACGGACAACATCGATAATTATCAGCTGAAACGACAACAACGGCTTGTGTCACAACCGTGCGGTTTGAGAAACGTACCGCTGAGTGATATCTTCTCTTCTGAACCATCGCTCGTCCCATCCCATCCATCCATCTAAAGGAGAGACGAAAAGCAAGATGATGAAAAAAAAGGAAGTCTACACAAACATCACCCCCCTCCCATCCTTCATTCCCCGCCAACTAGCCCTCGACATCCTCCACAGTCACAGTGAAATCATAACCCTCAACCCTTTGGTTCTCTCACACAAACCCATATCTGCGCCCCGCGACGCCCCCGCCGAAGATATTATTCAACCTGGTACGAAATCTCCGAAAGAATCCAAGTCGTCCCCGGTG